AAACCCTTTCTCTTAAGCTTTCTTTGTCAGGTTATTTTATCACAACAAAAGGAATCAAGCTAAAAGAAATTCAAAGACTATACATCGGCACTGCCAGTTTCAAAGCAGTGCTATTCACAGTAAACCAGAAGTGGATACAGCCCAGCTGTGCAACAACTGATGACTGATAAGAAACATCTGAGATACAAAGCCCCGGAGATGGGCGGGTCAGTAAAGTGTCTGCAACACAAGCGTGAGGACCTCAGTTCAGATCTCTCAGCTCCAACGAAGAAGCCAGCCATGGTGATGCACATTTGCAATCCTAGTGACAGGAAGCGGGAGATAGGAAAAGCCCTGGGTTCACTGACTGGCCAATCCAGCTTAATCAGTGACCCCCAGAACCAACAAGAGGCTTTGTCACAACAGTACTTGCTGCTCTTGTAGATGACCCATGTTTGGTTCCAGATGGCTCATAAAATGCCTGTAACTCCATTTACAGGAGATCCAACACCCTCTTCACACATACATATACTCACAAACACACATGCATACACACAGAATTAAAATAAATATTTTTTTAAAAAATAACAAAGTAGATAGACACACACATAAAAACCCACTCATAGTTGTGTTTTGGCCCCCATACTTCACATACAATTGCATGAGTGCCTGCATACACACAAGCACACTCCACCACATACACTCTCATATCTTATACACATACATGCATGCACAATAGAACACTAATTAATCCCAAACAAACAAACTGTGATCCAGCACTGGAAAGGCAGAAACAAATGCATCCCTGGAAGTTGCTGGCCAGTCAGTCATGCCTACATGGTGAGTTCTGGGACAGAGAGACTGTCTCAGGATAGGAGGAGTCAGGGCAGCACCTAAGCCACAACACAAAGGTTGTTCCCTGGCTTCCACATACCTGTAGTCATACATACATATGTATGCATACTCACATGTACATGTGTGCCTGTACAAGCACAAACATTATCACACACATATACACACAAACAGTATCATGTTTTAAGCCACTATCTGGATATGTTTGTTACACAGTGAAAACTATCATGTGAAATTATGTCTCACTGAAAGCCTCAGAAAGTTAAAAATGTGCGCGCGTGTTTGTGTGTGTGTGTGTTGTATACATATGTATGCTTGGTATGTCTGGTACACAAACAAGAATGTTCAGGTGTTTGCACCTATGCACATGCAGTCATAGACCAGAGTACAATGTCACATGGCTTTTCTCTCAGGCTCCAACTTAGTGCCTTGAGACAGGGTCTGACTGAGTGGAAGTTCACCACTTCTGCTGCCATCACCTGTCTGTCTCCACCTCCATTCCAAACTGGGGTTATAGATTCACACAACCATGCTTCCTACTGGAGTCCAGGAGATATGAAACCCTCTGGACTCCACAGGCACTTCACACTCATGGTGTACAGACCATGCAGGCAGGCAAAACATCCATGCACATAAAATAAAAAATAAGAAAGCAAAAAAATTCTAACTTCCAGTTTTCTGTGCTGAAGATCTGTAAGTCTCCTCTCAGAGCTCACTACTTTGGGCTGGGGATGGCTCTGTGAGTAAAGTGATTGCCTTGTGTGCTTGCTTTTTTTTTTTTTTTTTTTTTTTGCCATAATAAACCCTCTGACCAAAAGCAACTGGTGAGGAAAGAATTCATTTAGTCCATCATCAAGGGAAACTAAGGAGGGAACTCAAAGCAAGAGCTTGAGGCAGAAACCATGAAGAAATTCTGCCTACTGGCTGACTCTCAGCTTTCTTATTTGTATATAGCAGGCCTACCTGCCTAAGGATTGTACTGCCCACAGAGTGCTTCCCCTTGCTTGCCAATCAACCACCAATCTATAAGGACAACCAAGATCAGTCATCACACCTTCCAAGCACCAAGACCTGAGTTACACATTGCTTGTGTTGTGGTTTGAATAAGAATGGTCCCAAGGTTCATATATTTGAATGCTTAGTCATCAGGCAGTGACACTCTGAAAGGATTAAAACAATTAGGTGTGGCCTTATTGGAGAAAGTGGGCTTTAAGGTTTCAAAAAGCCTATTCCAGGCCCAGAGTCTCTTGCTCTGCACACTGATCATGACATAGCTCACAGCTACTGCTCCAGGAGCCTGCCTGCATGTTGTCACAATCCCTGAAATGATGATGATGAACTAAACCTCTGAAACGTAGACAAGCTCCCAATTAAATGCTTTCTTCCATAAGAGCTGCCTTGGTCATGGTGTCTCTTCACAACAACAGAACAGTGACTAAGACAGAAATTGGTGCCAGAGACTAGGGTATTGCTATGATAGGATTGACCAAGATGTCTGTGGGAAGAATATGGAAGATTTTGGGATTTTGGACTACAAAAATGGTTGGATACTTTAGGTGGGACTTAATGGTTTATCCCAGTGGGAGCATGGAAGACAGTGCTCAAGGTGATTTGAACTGTGAAAGCCCAGCTCAAAAAAAAGTTTCAGAGGTTAAGAGGCTTAGAGACCATTCTTGTGATGTTTTGGCAAAGAATGAGGCTTCTTTTTGCCCTTGTCCTAAAAATCTGTCTGAAGCTAAATTGAAGAGTTTTGAATTGATGGCCTTGGCAGAAGAGATTTCAAGACAGTCTGCACTGCTTTTCCAAGATGTGTTGTGTGGGTATTAATGACCAGTCTTAAACAGATCTATAATGAAAAGGAGCAAGCTGAGCAAGGAAAAAATACAAAATACATAGTTTTGAGGAGTTAAGGAACACCAGGAAATGTCGTGTTGGAGATGAATCCAGTCCTCAAAGAGATAAAAAGTTTAAAGAAAAGCCTGCTGATAAATGGAATAAGGGAGTGGTGACCTCAGGGCAAGACTCCACCAACCTAAGCTTCCAACTTGTGAAAAGGAATCAAAGGAAATCTTAAGCAGTGAAGACACCATGAAAAGCAGAAAGCTAATAAGACGTAACTGAAAAAGACAGCCAAGTTCCGGGCCCAGCAAAAAGCAGCTTCAGCCACTTGGTTCTGGCTTTAGAGTCAAGAAAGAATATAAGAAATGGGGTGTGGAATCTCCTTCTACAGCTAAGGAAAGCTGCTGAAGCCAGGTGCATGTCAGGGTATCCCTTCATGGAGGCCCAGAGAGGCCACTTCATGAAGCTATGAAGGTGAAACCTGGACTGTATCGGAGACTCCAAGGTGTTGGAGATGCCAGAGTCATGACATACCTGCCAAGGGAGGCTTCAGATTGGAAGTGGAACCAACCCAAGAGTGAAAAGTATGTTACAGTAAATAAAGCAAAAAGCAGCTGGAGATCTGAAGAGCGCTTTGACCTCAGACAGGGAGATGCAGAGTGTGGAGTTTGCCCAGCTGGGTTCTGGTCTTGTTTTGATCCAGTATTTTCTCACTATCCTCCCTTTCTTCCTTTTTTGGAATGGTAATGTATATCCTGTGCCACTGTATATTAAAAGTATGTGATATGCTTTTTGATTTTGACTTTACAGGGGATTACAGCTAAGAGACTGCCATGAGTCTAAGAAGAGACTTGACTTTCAGGGGGTCTTGAGACTGTGAAAGACTATGGGGACCTCTGAAGTTGTACTAAATGCATTTTACATTATAGTATGGCTATTAGCACCAGTTAGTCCCCTTTAAATGTTTAAGCCCAAAAACCAACATTAAAAAAGTCACCCATGTGGAAAGCAGTGTGGCCATTTCTCAGAAAATTCGGGATCAACCTACCCCTGGACCCAGCAATGCCACTCTTGGGAATATACCCAAGAGAGGCCTTATCATACAACAAAAGTATATGCTCTACTATGTTCATAGCAGCATTGTTTGTAATAGCCAGAACCTGGAAACAACCTAGATGCCCTTCAATTGAAGAATGGATGAAGAAAGTATGGAATATATACATATTAGAGTACTACTCAGCAGTAAAAAACAAGGACTTCTTGAAGTTTGCAGGCAAATGGATGGAAATAGAAAACACTATCCTGAGTGAGGTAAGCCAGACCCAAAAAGAGGAACATGGGATGTACTCACTCATATTTGGTTTCTAGCCATAAATAAAGGACATTGAGCCTATAATTCGGGTTCTTAGAGAAGCTAAATAAGAAGGAGAACCCAAAGAAAAACATATAGTCATCCGCCTGAATATTAACCTTCATCAGGCGATGAAAGGAGACAGAGACAGAGACCCACATTGGAGCACCGGACTGAAATCTCAAGGTCCAAATCAGGAGCAGAAGGAGAGCATAAGCAAGGAACTCAGGACCGCGAGGGGTGCACCCACACACTGAGACAATGGGGATGTTCTATCGGAAACTCACCAAGGCCAGCTGGCCTGGGTCTGAAAAAGCCTGGGTTAAAACAGGTCTCACTGAACATAGCGGACAATGAGGGCTACTGAGACCTCAAGAACAATGGCAATGGGTTTTTGATCCTACTGCACGTATTGGCTTTGTGGGAGCCTAGGCAGTTTGGATGCTCACCTAACTAGACCTGGATGGAGGAGGGTGGTCCTTGGACTTCCCATAGGGCAGAGAACCCTGATTGCTCTTTGGGCTGACAAGTGAGGGGGACTTTATTGGGGGAGGGGGAGGGAAAGGAGAGGCGGCGGTGGGGAAGAGACAGAAATCTTTAATAAATTAAAAAAAATAAAAAAGATTTGGATTAAAAAAAAAAGTCACCCATGGTGGCATGTGCTTACAACCCCAGCACTAGAGGCAGAGGCAGGCAGATCACTGGAGTTCATTGGCTGGTCAGCTATGAAAAATCCTGTCTCAAAAATAATGGTGGACAGCACTTGAGAGACAATATCTGAAGCTGTCCTCTGCACATATGCTTGCACTTGCACACATGAGCACTAACACACATGTGCATCTGCATACACACACGCACACACACACACACACACACACACACAAATAACTCACAATTTCCCAAGTTTTCATTTAATAAATTTCAAAGTCACAACTCCACCCAGACCAACCTGGATACCACATAAAAAAAAAGTCTCAGATAATTTATTCCAAATTTTAATATAAACAAGTAATTAGCCTGTATTGTACATGCAGAACAATTTCAGCCCCTCCCCTCCCCTCACAAAGAAGGCATATTCTGTACATGATGCTACTTGGCTCTTAAAAGAAAACATCACTGTTTTGGGTGGGTTTTGAGTTTCTGAGTTTTCTACAGCACTGTGGCACATTTGATCCCACACTGCTGATATATGGGGTGTAGCTACCCAGGCACATAAAGGGGCAAGGAGCAGCAACTTTGATACAAAGGATAAGGACCAAACAAGCCATTCCTGGACATGTGCATGGACACACAGACACACACACACACACATTAGGGTCCTTCCTTCTCAAATGATAACATGGGTCCCAGGTTCATAATCTAGTTTTTAACAAGTTTTTGTTTTGCTTTTTTAGTGGCTCACATATAGATAAAAAATTGACCAGAGACTGATTCTGAACCTTGATTGGCATCAAGTAAGCGCAAATACTCACGGATCTCTATTTCTTGAGGACCACCTGAGGATAAATATGCCTTCAGTCATGGTCTCTTAAAAGTTTAAACAGCAAGGGATAATCATTTATTCCTACTTCACAACCTCATCTCTTGTGTAAATTCATATTCTGAGGAACATTCTGGAAGGTTTTTTAAAATGGCTCTACCCTATGTGTGTCATTTACACAAAATCAGCATTTTTCTTTTCCATGTTCAAAACAACTATAATTTTTGAAGATTATATGTTCTCATGAAGTCACCAGCTGGTATCCAGAACACATTCACCTATCAGGAACTAGAAAAACCTTTGGTAGAATGACAGCCACTCATTTGCTAAGATTGCCAGTATGAACTAGACTTGCACAGTGATACTGCTCACTGGCCAGTGTTATGGTGGACTTCAAATAAATTTATAGTCCTTAACCCCATAATTAATCACTCTGCATGGTAGACTATCTGTCCTGGTAAGATAGTAAGGATGACCTGTGTTGGGTGACATCACTCCCAAAAGCCACAGAAATAGACATGCAGCTCTCCCTGCCCATCTCCACATTCTCCCAAACTGTGCTCAGCCTAACTCCAGAAAACCATTAGTGCTCTTCCCATCCAGTTAGCTTCAAACGACAGGAAGCATCTAGAAGGGCTCCAGAACACGAACATTTCCTGGTGTGTGCTTGCTATCATTGAACCAGACAGAAAACATATCTGCTGTTATCCTGGAAGAAATGGCTGTGTGACTTTCACCATCATAAAAAGACTTTTAAAATGATGAGACATCTTCCAAAACACACAGCGAAGTGTCAATGTATCCTGGTTTTGTTTCTTTTGTTCCCCTCTCACCCATCACTACAAACTCTCGGGAGAGCCACGATTTTCTAGGTCCCAAGATTCTTTTCTTACAAAGCTAATATCTTCTGAAGCCAAAATGAGTCTCATAACTCAACAGCTTATTCCCTCCCCAGCAGCATTAGATATCAAAATGGAATTGGTGAAGTCCTTTTTGATAGGGTCATCCCAAGTTGGTACACCTCTCCATAGAAGATGGAGAAGAGTGAACTTTCAAGGGCTGTGCCCCAAGATGAAGTAAGAAATGGGAAGCCTGAAAACAGGGGCCATGCTGGCCCTGCCTTGACTTCCAGACTTCCCAAAACTGCACAAGGCCAAACAGTGTCAGCTTGAGGGCAACCAATTCCTAGCAGAGGGCTCCTATTTTATTGTTCAAAATATGTTCAAGAAACTAATGGGTTTTGGATTAGGATTTCCCCCAAATGCCCTCATATTGGCTGGTTGTATAGGAGGTGCCCTCAGACACCCAAAGCCTCACAGGTCTGAAAAGAGCTGAGAAATAACGGTCAGAGAACTCAAAGTGCCTTTGCATTCATGTCTGGGAGATTTCGTGTGACAGCTGTCGGTGGTAGTTTATTACCTCTCCCCAAAAGACCTGAACATGAGGACCTCACAGAGAGGCTAAATCAAGACGGACTGAAGCACGGCTTGTGTGAGGAGTGTGCATCAACAAAAAGCTGTATACGGTTACACTCAGAAGAATACCAGCGAAGAGAAGAATCCATGTTCACAGGAAGGTTCTAACTTCATTCCAACTCCCTCCCTCAAAGTTCTTCCTAGTCTGTGGCATTCGGAAATCAGCTGGTACACAGCTCCCCAACTCAGAGCACGATCCAGCCAGAATTCCAAAGCCTCGACGCCTGGGACTGAACCTCATCCTAACAAGACACTGAGGTAGACTGTGCTGAGAGAAATAAAAACATGACCCACACTCACCTGTTTTTATTTTTTCCTTGATAAAAAAAATTTACATGCACACCATTTTTTTACAAAAGTGATTTTCAAGAGTGATTTTATATATTAAAATAAATACTTTCCCCAGTAATATAAGAAAACCTTTTGAATTAGAAAAATGTGGAAATTCCTGCTAGTGTAGCATCTGACCACTACAAATTTACTGTGAAAAGGAAAAAGAAACAACAAATATCAGACCTACATGTCTTCCACCGATGCACAAACCCTCTAGTTACAAAGTGATTTGGGTGAAAATAACCGTGACTTTCTTCTTGTACCAACCACCGAGTTCCCTGGTAACATTTTACATCTGTCGCTTTTCTAATATGAATTTGACAGCAACTGGCAATCAGAATCTGTGTCTACTTGTGTTCTCAACCAAGAATTAGGAGGATTTGGGGGTGGACACTGTGTCTTTATCTCGCATCTCTTAGAGGAGAAGAAAGGTATCAGATATTCGTGGGGAAACACAGGCAGGGAAGAACGTGTGAGAGGATTCTGAGCCCCGATCCATGAGTTCACCATGGCTGTTTGCTTCTTTTACTTGAGCAGCTGTAGTTTTATGCAAAGAGAGGAAGCTGTGGGTTCACATCCTTTCAGGAGTTCTTGGTGGTGGCAAGAAAGTCTCTGATGTCTTCTCCTCCAGACTGTAGTCTCTAGGGACTGAAACATTAGCACCTGAGAAAGAGACTCAGGCACCACACCTGCCCGAGCTGAGGTCCCTGGGAACCAAGAGCAGCTGTGGGAGTTTAGTGTGGAGAACAGCCGATGTCCCCCGGGGGAGGAGACCAACTGCTATCCTAAGGGGGCATCTCCTTATATTGCTTAGTGTTCTCAAAGTCCTCCTGTGCCGTTGGTCTTTGGGATGAGTTTTCTGTGTTTATACAATGACTGAGCAACAAGTAGGCCTTGAAGAGGTGAGGTACACGAGCAGAGAAAAACCCAAAGATGAACACAGGTGTTCTGGAAGGCCAGCTCAGCTCCAGGACCACCAGTGTATGCAAGCAAGAGACATCCAGTCCAACTTGCTAGAAGAATCAGTCAAAAATCCAGTTTCCCATATACTCCACAAGGCCTCACAGTGTCCTAAAGGGCTAGCAGCTAATGTGGTATAATTCCCCAAAAAACATGTGCTTCAAAGACCAAACACAAGAGGCCATTCCCTCCTGTCTCCCTACACAGGCAGGTGTGCCCACTACTTCCTCTGCCCCCAAAGAAATAATAACTTATTAGGCTCATGCCAGAGATTCCTTAAGCATTAAATATGTTACAAATATATTCTCAAAATTATTATCTGACTTCTTTCTACTTCTGTCCGGTGTGTGTACTTGTGTGTGTGTGTCCTTTGCTTTGTTTGGTCTTCCAAACACCCTTGATGAATCCAGACCAAATGGTCCTCCCTCAGTTTTTGGAAAACATTGCCAAAGGGAGGGAAAGAAGACACCTGAGCACGACTTCTGAAATGACCGAGAAGCATCTCTAGATGGTACAGACGCTGAGACCCTAAGAAGGAAGGACAAGGTGAGGTCACCCACTCCAAGCAGCAGGAGCTTCATGAGCCAATAAATTCCCCAAGCATCAGTCCAGATAATGTTTTACACACACACACACACACACAATCCCCACCCCACCCTGTGATCTCTAGCCTGGACGCGACACGCACACAAACACACACAGGTGTGAACAGAAGCACACACAGAGGACTACACACCCTTTCCCAAAATAAAATATGAAAGCAGCAGCTATTGGTCAATTTGAGGAACTGATTTTGTGAATGAAGAAAACAAAGCTAAAATAAAGCCCCTCTCTCAGATTAATAAAATCTTCTCAAAGCCCAACCCTGCAAAGCATGTAATTGTAGAACAGGGTGCTGTGGGTTGGGTTTTTTGTTTTTTTCCGTCTCTCTCTCTCCTTAGCTTTCTTACTTGTGTTCCATAAATAAATTCTGTCCTTGACAACTAACTGTAACTCAGACACTAGCAAGAAAAGAAAAATGCCTGTAAAAACAGGTGCATTCTTTCAGCCTACGAGGAAAACAACAGCAACAACAATATCCTGGTTTGAAACCGTGGATGGGAGAGGGGAACGTGTCCGTGGAAAGCCCAACCCCTCTAGGTTCACAGTTAGCCCTCCACTGGCTTGCAGGGTTGGCAATCACACGTGTGTATTTTTAGGTCAAAAGACAAACAGAAACGTGTATGAACTATCTCTGAGCTCAGTTTCACATCTGGGTAGAGTCCTGATAATCCTGAGTTTCCTGGAGGCGGTCAAACTAGAGAAGAGTTTTAAAAGAGAAAGAGTTCTTCCCCAGCAGGCGCTGTTAGGAAGGGTTTGACCTGGGCAGGGTGAGCACACGCCCATTCTTCTTGCCCCCGTTCATGTGGGTGTATGGGATGTGTTCATCATAGGTCCGTTTGATGCTCAGAGTGGACCCTCCCTCCCGGCCCCCAGCTTCTTCCCTGTGACAGTGAGAGGACCGATCCAAGGGGACATTCTCCATGTCCTCGAACTCCATCTCCAGCTCCTCACTCTCGGGAGCCTTGTTCTCTTCGCTGTAGAAGAAGGAAACCTCTGGAAAGCTGGGGTGGAGGTCATCCTTCAGCAGGTTGACAATTTCCAGGAAGGTTGGCCTCATCTTGGGGTTGAACTGCCAGCACATGCGCATCAGGTCAGTGCTGCAGGAACAAGAACCAGGGTGGATGAGCCTCAATATGCAGCCAAGCCAAGCAGCTCCCTCATACTCCGCCCCACTATAGACCACATCCAAGTAGTAGACTCCTTGCCTTGGCTGTGGCTGCACATATGGCAGTCAAGGCTGGACTGACAATTCTAGTGGGACTGGAAGATGGCTATGAAAAGCAAGCCGGCAAGACTTGGTAGTACAGGCCTGTCATCTCAGCTACTCGGGAGGCTAGGGTAGGACGACTATAAATTCAAGGCCTGTCACATTAGAGTGACTTTCAGACCAGCCTGGGCAACTTAGTGAGACCAGTGCCTCTAAATTAAAAGGACAAAGAGGGACAGTGCTCAGTGGAGGAAGAGGTAGGGCCGAGGAAAAGGAAAAAAGAACGGGAAATGGAAAGAAAAGGAAAAGACTGGGAAAGGAAGGAATGGGCAGGGAGGAAGAAAAAGGTGGGAGAGGGGAGGAGAAAATAACAGTGGAGCCAAGAAGCTGTCAACCAGGGAAAGGGCCCCAACTAGGGAAAGTTTAGATTAGGTTGGAATGCTAACATGCCCGTGGGGGTTGTCATGGTTGTCAGTTGATATGGCAAGACCTGGATCTGGGATGATAACACTACACCCTGGGCAGGGCCTCCTAAACTTCACGAGAATGTGGAAAGCAAGCTGAGAGCAAACAAAGAAAGATCACAGACTTCTCTCTGCCCTTGACTGCAGATGTGACCTGACCAGCTGCTTCCTACTTTGACCTCCCCATTAGTGATCCAAGTCTTCCTCCCCTAAATTGCTTGCGGTCAGGTTTTACCATGGTAACAGAGGTGAGGAGCTGGACAGGCATTGTATTGTACATCGTTTTTTCCCCTACACATCCCCAGTCTCCTGTGTCTCAGGAGTTACCGGTATGTCTCGCTCCTGTCTGGAACTGCTTGCTGAGGCTTACCTGTACCCAACAGTCATTCTAGACTTAAAGACTCTTCAGGGCTGGTATCCTTAAGCGCTGGCAGGTACAGCTATATGCATTGAACATAGGGAGCCGGCTCCTCATATATCAAAAAAAAAATGTCAGGAGGGGCCTTAGTCATAGAACCAGCCTGGTGGGCTCTGCAGTATTTACAGGACTGAGGTACACTGGCACCTAACATCATACAAGAGTCCAGACCTCATCTTTACAGATTCTCCAAGAGCCCCAGGCTTCTACTTTACTCAGTCTAAAACATTAAGAACAGGAACCAAGGACTTCCATTTGCATTTTGACCTTTTCCTTTCTCCCATGTAACTTGACCTACAGCAAATTTCAGACCTTGAATGAAATCTGGCCCCCCTGCATGTGTCTATAAAGTTTTATTGTCACAGGGTATAATGCTGTTTCTTAGATGCCTCCAAACACTGAGCTGTTGATGCAACACGTTTCCAGGTACAGCTCTGGGGAAGTGTTTGGATCATGAGGGCACTAACCTAGTCAATGGATGAAACCATCAGTGGAGTAAGAGGAACACTAAGAGGAAGGGCCTTGTTGGAGGAAGTGGGTTATTGGAGGTATGAATCTCAGGGGTACATTTTACCTCCAACCTCAGTTCTGCTCTCATCCTACCACCCTCGACCTTCTGCCTCACCAGAGCATGGAGAGAGACTGAAACTGTGAGCCACAGTAAGTCTTTCCTCCTTAAGCTGAACTTCTCGGGTATTTCCCAGCAGTGACAGCTAACAAACAGGGTCTCATCCATGCATCTACACGATGCCAACGACTGTATTCAAGATACAACTGTGCAGCCATCGTACTGTCGATATCTACAATAGAGCCTCTAGGGAAAGGCTGTGGACCTCTGCCCTGGGGCTCAGTCTCCTTTCCAGTTGCTACAGACCATCAGAGTGGGGGAGTGGGGGAAGGAAGGCGGGAGGAACTTAAAGCACTAGTCACATCACAAGACACATAGAGAATGAATGCGTGCTGGCTGGCTCAGCTCGCTTTCTCCACTTTATGCAGTCAGGTTCCCCTGCCTAGGAAATGGTGCCACCAACAGTGGTAGGTGACATCAATTAGCATAATCAAGACAATCCCCCACAGACATGCCCACAGCCAATGTTACCGAGACAGCTCTCCTCCCAGACAATTCTAGATTGTGCCGAGTTGATAATTAAAACTAATCATCACAGGTTAAACCCCCCAGTTCTCAACCAGTTGCAAACTGGTTTAGTTAGGAAAGGGCAATGTTCAGAAAATTTTGAATGTGAAGAGAAAAACACAAATACAAGACAAATGCAAGCACCTACATGAAGACACAGATAGAAACACAAAATGGTTATAAAGATTTGGTATGCAAGGTTCAGTCAGTAAATTGCTTGCCCCTCAAGCCTGAGAACCTGAGTTAAAACCTACATAAAAAATATACACATTTACAATCCCAGTGCTGGGGAGGTAGAGGTAGGAGGATCCTGGGGACTCTACAGCTGGCCATCCAGCCTAGCTGAATAAATGAGTGGAACGCAATGGAAGGCCATGTCTCAATGGAGGTGAATGATGCCCAAGGTTGCCCTCTGGTCTCCACACATGTATGAACAACAGGTATGTACAGGAGTATTTAAAAAAAATTAAGGAACTAAAGAGATGGCTCAGTGACTAAGAGGACTTATGCCTCTTGAAGATGACCAAGGTTTAGCTCCCAGCACCCATGTGTTGGTTCACAACTACTTTGAATAGACTCATCACACTCTCTACCTCTTTTCTATACTTACAGTCTCTCAGGACAATTATCAGGTGGATCCAGATAGCCTCCATCCATGACAAATTTCAACACCTGTTCGTTAGACAGGCCTTGGTATGGTTGCTCAGCCAGGCTAGTGATTTCCCAAAGGACCACCCCAAAGGACCTGCCAACAACAATTGAGAACAGTTAACAAAGAGGTCAACTAAACACACACACACACAAACACACACACACACACACACACACACACACCCTGTCTCTCTCTCAAACATATCCATCCATACCTCTTTTGACTTATGAGAACTTGGCTGGCCAAGTAAAACAACTGACAGACTAAAACAATAGCTCAGTTGGCTAAGTGCTTTCCACCAAAGTATGAGTACCTGAGTTCAGTGCCCAAAACCCATGTAAAGAACTGGATGTAGGGGCCAGCAAAATATCTCAGTAGGCAAAACTCTTGCTGCCAAGCCTAATGACCTGAATTAGATCCCAAGGGCCCATATGGTGGGAGGTGAGAAGTGACTCCTGTAAGTTATCCTTTGACTTCCACACATGTGCTGTGGCATATTCCTCGGAACACACACACACAAAGACACAGACACACATCTAACTCTGTGTGTGTGTGTGTGTGTGTTTTGTTTAAAGCAGGGCTAGCTGGGGAGATGACTCAGTGGCTCATGTGCTTGCCCCACAAGTCTGAGGATAGAACTTCAAATCCCCAGAAAATCATGTAAATGCCAGGTGGGCATAGTAACCTAGCTGTAATTCCAGCCTCAGAAGGCAGAGACAGGGGATCCCTAGAGCAAGCTGGCTGACTAGCAAGAATAGTCATCGCACCTTGACTAGCTCTGGGTTTGACTGAGAGACCCGGCCTCAGCGAATAAAGTAGAAGAGCAGTCAAGGATAACTTCGAATATCAACCTCAGAACTCTACATGCATGAAGGCACACTTGCTGTGCACACACAGGCAAACAACCACATACATATGAAAATGGGGTAAGGGAGAAGCTGGGTGTGGTGGTGAGCACTTGTAATCCCAGCACAGGGGAAGCAGAGAATCCCGAGATCTCTGGCCAGCAAACCTAACCAATTTAAAAAATTACAGGTCAGTGAGAGACACTGTTTAAAAAAACCAAGGTAGAAGTCGGGCAGTGTGGGTGCACGCCTTTAATCCAAGCACTTGGGAGGCAGTGGCCAGCCTGGTCTATAAGGACTAGTTCCAGGATAGGCTGCAAAGCTATAGAGAAAGCCTGGCTCAGAGAAAGAAAGAAAGAGAGAGAGAGAGAGAGAGAGAGAGAGAGAGAGAGAGAGAGAGAGAGAGAGAGAGAGAGAGAGAGAGAGAGAGAGAGAGAACAAAGTAGAAGGCACCTGAAAAGGAAGTATGCCCAAGGCTGTCACATGCCTTCCAAATGGAAACATGGAAACCTGTGTGCACTGTTGTAGGATATTTGTACACTGTGTGAAGATATATTGCTGCGATTGGTTTAATAAAGAGCTGAACAGCCAATAGCTAGGCAGGAAGTATATGTGGGATTTCTGAGAAAAGAAAAAAAAAAAAAAAGAGGAATCAAGAGGCAGGAGAAGCCAGGAGACAAGGAGAGAAAACAGGATAAAGAAGGCATGGCACATATACACTTTAGAGTTCTACTCAGCGGTAAAAAACAATGACATCTTGAATTTTGCATGCAAATGGATGGAAATAGAAAACACTATCCTGAGTGAGGTAACCCAGACCCAAAAGGATGAATATGGTATGTACTCACTCATAAGTAGATTCTAGCCATAAATAAAGGACATTGAGCCTATAATTCGTGATTCTAGAGAAGCTAAATAAGAAGGTGAACCCAAAGAATAACATATAGTTATCCTCCTGGATATTGGAAGTGGACAAGAGTGCCAGACAGGGGTTGGGAGCACGGGGGTGGGGGTGGGGGTGGGGTGGGGATAAGGGGAGATGTGGAGAGAGAAGGGAGAAGGGGAGGATGGGGAGAGTTTGCGGGAATGGGATGGTTGAGATGGAGGAGGGGTAGATGAGGGAGCAGGGAAGTAGATTAATTAAGGGAGCCATTTAAGGGTTGGCAAGAGACTTGACTCTGGAGTGGTTCCCAGGTGTCCAAGGAGATGTCCCCGCTTGTTCTTTGGGCAGTAGAGGAGAGAGTGCCTGAACTGGCCTTATCCTATGGCCACACTGATGAATATCTTGCAAATCACCATAGAACCTTCATCTGGCGATGGATTGAGATAGAGACAGAGACCCACATTGGAGCACTGGACTGAGCTCCCAAGGTCCATATGAAGAGCTGAAGGAGGGAGAACATGAGCAAGGAAGTCAGGATAGCAACAGCGGGACTGATCTAATGGGAGATTACCAAGGCCAGTTGGACTGGAACTGATGGAGCATGTGATCAAACCAGACTCTGAATGTGGCTGACAGTGGAGGCTGGTGGAAAAGCCAAGGACAATGGCGCTGAGTTTTGATTCTACTGCATGGATGAGCTTTGTGGGAGCCTAGTCTGTTTGGATGCTCACCTTCCTGGACCTGGGGGGAGCAGGGAGGGCCTTAGACTTCCCATAGGGTAGGGAACCCTGACTGTTCCTTGGACTGGAGAGGGAAGGGCAGGGGAGGGGGAGTGGAGGGAGGGGAGGGAAGTGGGAGGAGGGAAGGAGGTAGAAATTTTCAATAAAAAATAAATTTTTAAAAAAAGATAGAAGAGAGTTAATGCCATGTGATAGAATGTAGATTAATATAAATGGGTTAATCTAAGTTATAAGAGCTAGTTAGGAACAAGCCTAAGCTATAGATTGAGCTTTCATAATTAATAAGTCTTTGTGTCATTATTTGGGAGCTGGATGATGGGATAGAGAAAGATTCATTACAGCATGTGAACATACATGCACACATGTGCACACACACCTGCAACAATTTATGTCATAATTCATAAATAAATTCTTCTAAAACCATTCTCAATCAATGCACAAGGACCCAGAAAGAACTACCTTCATTTCAATATGTGGAAGGCAGGCTTCCCTCTACCACCTCCTGCTGACCCCATCCGTGGGACTCCTGCAGGAGTTTAAACCCCGTACAGACATATCTACCCATGCATGCATAACTTACCACATATCAGAAGAAGCAGTAAAGACTCCGTCCTTCAAGGACTCAGGTGACATCCACCGTACAGGCAGCAAGCCCTTGCCCCCTTTCCGATAGTAATCTGTCTCATAGATGTCTCTCGTCATCCCAAAGTCTGACAACAAACAGTTCATACATTTTTCAGTTCATCATCCTAGCATCGAGTGTTCCACCCAACACAACACAACTAGAGAGTAGGGAAATTCCCCAAGAAGGAGTTCGGGGGCCTGAACCTGAGGTTGTTGATGGAGAATAGGGGCTACCATGTAAAGGAAGGGGAAAAGAGGTCCCTAACGACAAAGAACCAACAGTCTGGCCTGAAGCTCTCAACAATTCATCCTTCCCACCTACTCCTTCCCCAGTGTCCCGAACACACCTTTTCCCTTTTTCCAGCCAACCTGCTGCTACCGTGACTCAGCTGCTCACCCCAAAACCAAAAGTTGAGGGTCCCCTTTTGACCTTGTCTTTTGCTCACACCCCCAAACAATGGGCAACCAAGGCTTTCTGGCTCTACATCTCTCTCCAATGCATCTCACTTCTCATTGCCTTTGAACAAACCAGGCTCACCTCCATCTCTCCCCTGTGTATCCTCCACCATGGTAACATCCCACTATACAAGGGCAGCTATACAGAATCATACCCCGTCCTGTTCCCACTGTTTTTGTTTCTTTTTCTGAGACAGTCTCACATATTCTAGGACAGCCTAGGACTTGCCATGTTGCTGAGAATGACATTGAGCTACTGATCTTCCTGCCTCTACCTCCGCAAGTGTCAGGATACATGCACCACCACACATGGGTTTTGGGGGGCAGGGTTTCTCATTAATGTAGGAAGGTCTTTAGGATCATAAGTAATGAATCATGTCTGATGTGGGATTCCCCTTTGTATGCTGTGAATACCATTGGTTAATAAGGAAACTGGCTTGGCCTATAGCAAGGTAGAACTTGGTAGGTGGGAAAGCTAGGTTGAATGCTGGGAGAAAGAGGGCAGAGTCAGAGGGAAGCCATGTAGCCCTGCCGGAGATAGATACTGGACGGAACTTTACCTGGTAAGCCACAGCCATGTGGCAATACACAGATTAATGGAGATGGGTTAAATTAATATGTAAGAGCTAGCCAATAAGAAGTTAGAGCTACTAGGCCAAGCAGTGATTTAATTAATACAATTTCTGTGTGGTTATTTTGGGTCTGAGCTGCCAAGCGGCCAGAATGACCAAGAGGCCTTCTTACAACACGTGTCCCATCTTCCTTCATATAGTTCATGTAGGATAATGTCACTGGGTCACATTCCTGCATGACTCCTGTTGTTATGTAGAAGAGTATCTCTTGGAATCACACATAGGTTCACCTCCCTACTTGCTCCCATAACTAATGTTTGTGTGGGGGAAGGTGAGTCTGTGGGATCTTCCTGATTTTCACTGGTGTTGTAGAGGAGAGGCAAGTCCTATGAGTTATGAAGCACTTGCATGCCTGCTTCTTGGCTTTCAGCTCAGCCTTACACCTCACTGTCCTGGGCCCTCCCATCCTATCTACACACTCCAAGCAGACATCGAGACACTTCACATCTACTTCTGCTGTCTCCTACATTCTCTGACTCAACCTTCGGTCTTGTACTAGGAAGTACTAACTGTCACCTGGACACAGGCTAGAGTCACCTGAGAGGAAAGCCTCCATTAAAGGGCCTGTCTTGATGGTTAGTTAATATAGGAGGGTCCAGTCCACTCTGGACAGCACCATTTCTTTGGCAGAGATTCCTGGGCTATCTAACCACGAGCCAGAGCAAACCACCAAGCAGCGTTCTTTTATGGTTTCTGTTTCAAGTTGCTGCCCTGACTTTCCTGAGTGATGGACAAGTTGAAACAAACTCTTTCCTCCCCAAGGTGCTTTATTTATTTGTTTTTTTTTTTTTATTTACTTAATTATGATAGAAACAGGCAGGGAACTAGAAGAGAAATGTTGACTTTTGGGCTAGGAAAGTGCCCAGAAGTGGGTAAAAGTACTTTTCAGGCAAGCATGAGGACCTGAGTTCTGAACCCCAGACCCTGCCATTCTATACACACACACACACACACACACACACACACACACACACACACACACACGTGGGTGTGCACTAAAGGATTCCAAGACACACCTCCAATTTTGACGGTAAAATCATGAGCAACCATGCAGTTTCGAGCTGCCAGGTCCCGGTGCACAAACTTCTTGGCATTCAAGTATGCCATGCCATCAGCAATTTCTGCTGTCATCTGAATCATCTCTTGCAAGGTAGGGGGAGGACGGCCTGGGTTATTCTAAAGTCAAAACAAGAGTTGCAATTAGCTCTCTGCTGCCATCTAAATTATCTCTTGCAGGGTAAGGGGAAAGTAGCCAAGGTTACAAAGTCAAAATATGGGTTTGCACTTAGCAAGCTTGGTACACTTAAGAGCAGGTGCCCTTCTTAGGGACTTAGAGGAAGCTCACTTCAGCATCCGGGCGCAGGGAACGGAGGTGACTCTTCAGGTCTCCATGAGCCATCAATTCCATCACTACCAGTGTTGGCTGGCCTTTGGATACCACCCCAAGGAGGCGAACCTGTAGGACAAGCATGGAAGTGATTCAAAGAGCATGAAGGTGACCCAAAGAGGGTCCAGGTATTATTTCAACTTGCCATGAACTCTCTGTCTGGTGCCCACAGCACACAGGCCACTCCATACTTGGAAGAAGCACACCCAACCCTACTATGGGGAAGCAAACAGACCCACCCATGTATAGCACATCCCAGCAAATCTCACCCGCTTAATGTTCCTCAGTATATAAACCATGTTCTTACCTCCACACCTTTGTAGTTCCTGCTCTCCTTGGCCTGTCTCCTCTCATGTACACATGGTTCAGTCTCACATCCTTTAAGACTTTACTCAAATTTACTCCACAATCATCTTTCTCTCTCTTTTTCAATTTTTCCTAGCACCACTCTCCCAATATGCCCTTCATACATCTATTTTGGGAAATGTCTTCCCTGCAATAGATATCTAAGAGGGAGGTCAGGAACTTGCTTCCACATCAGCAAGAGCAGGGTATTTAGGAGATGATATACAGCAATTTCTTCTGAATTGAAGCATTCCATCCTGGAGGGAAGCTTCTTAAGACTAAGGAAGTAAACAATTCACAAGTCTAAGAAATTTCCTAAAAATTTACAAGATTCAAAACTGCCACCATCATCCCTTTCCATATAAAATCTCTAGAAAGAACAGATTCTCCATCTCTCTAGTGCCTGCAAGTTGTGCAGAGAACTGAAATTCAAGTTTTCATGAGTTATCACTTATGCTAGAGTGGGCTTTTTGGAGATGCAGCTACCTATGCACATTGTCCATGTTCCTCTAAGTAAACCTACAATCTTGCAAGCTACAATATACTCACTGGTCCATCAGCTAGAGCTCTAATGGAATCCTTTCTTTGGTTTGTCATGAATACCCTATCAAAGTAAGTTTTGTTCACCTCTCTGCAGTACAAGTCACACAAAAGGGGACTCTAAATATACCTTATAACAATAAACGAACATAAGGTTCAGCAATAAATAAAGTGCTCACGCTGGGAACAGAAAGGCAGGGAAGGTTTATTTTGGCTTCAGGGAGAAGAAAGAATGGGAGCGGGCACAAAGCGATGGCCTTCCGTGTGGTTAAGAGTTATAGGGAAGGCAAGAATAGCAAAGAAATGTAATAATATAAATATCAATGGAAAGTCTGGAAAGCGAAGGAAGATCCTAGAAAGTGACAGAACAGTTAGAGAGTTTGATTCTAGGTAAGCTGGGAAAAGATGAGGTGGAGATGGGAGGCTTAACAGGGTGGGGGTAGGCATAAGTCTACACCCAGTTTCCTGGGTGGCTCCAGGGAGTGGAGGCAGAGTTAACAAGGAGCATGAAAGGAAACCTCTGTCCCTCCCCAGCCAGACTCACCACATGATGGCAGGTGAATCCCTTCATGACCGATGCCTCGTTGAGGAACTCGATCCGTTCTCGGAGACTGGCTGACTCATTGACAGTCTTCACTGCAACACGGGTCTCTGCCTCACCCTTGATGATATCCTTGGCATTGCCCTCATACACCATACCAAAGGATCCCTGCCCCAGCTCTCGTAGAAGGGTGATCTTCTCTCGAGGCACCTCCCACTCATCCGGCACGTACACAGAAGAAGGAAACACTACTTTTCACTTATCTATACAGTATGCTCAGCCAGCCTCTTAAGAGCCCCCTAAGACCCCCCCCCCCCCCCCGCAACACAACTTTTTCTTGAGCTATACACAAATATTCGCTCATTCTGTGGCTCAAGACTTCGGCTGGGCATTGGGTAAACAACCCAGAACAGGACGAGTTTCTGCCACCATCAAGGAGAATGCAGAAGCCAGGGAATGAGCTACAGCTAGTTCAGGATCCTGCTTAGGAAGCACTAAGATGGTCCTGTATCCCCTTCTTTCCCATCCTGACTCCAGATCCCTGCCACTGGATGGTGTCTCTTCCTGTGATAGTTAATACCCTGAGTCACCTTGGAGACAAGCCTTGGGGAATGTCTATGAAGGAAGCTTTTAGATGAAATTAATTGAGGTGTAAAGACCCACTCTAAACATGGGCAGATCATCCCAAAGGCTGGAATTCTGGACTGAATAAAAAAAGGCAAAAGTGTGCTGAGCAGCAGTATTTGCCACTCTGCTTCCTGACTCCGGACACAATGTGACCAGTTGCCAAGACTTCTGCTCCATAAGGAGCTGCACCCTGAAACTGTGAGCCAAAATGAAACCCTACTCCCTTAAGATGTTTACATGAACACTATGGGGCATACTCAGTCCTCAGGTGTGGGCAGTAACATTTTACCAACTGACCCATTTCCCAACATTATTATTTACACTTCTCTTCTCTCAGTGTCCTATCATGACTTCTAATTCCTAACAAGAATGACAAATTGTGTGTATGTGTTGGGGGCGGGGCAGTCTGGTCCTGACTTTGCAACACTCCTATGGCTGTGGCACAAAGTTTTTAGTTTCAAATTCCAGCCTGAAGATCCCAAGAAGATGCTATCAGCCACCCAGGCAGGTCCAGACAACGGATCTAAATTCCATAGTAGCAGAGTCTCTGCAGCAAGGGCAAACAGGCATGCTCAGCACTCAAGGGGGTTTCTCTCAGCCTCTTTGAGATGTTTTTCCCTTCTCCCTGTGATGCTAGCCAACCCTCAGATATGACGTTAACATTGTGGCAAAGGAAATCAAGGGCAAAGCCCTGGCTTCCAACAAAAAAGGAAGAGGTGCTCACCATCACTGGCACTGAGGTATTCAGGGTTTGAAGATGCATACAATGGTCCCATCGGCCCATCTGGCTGCCTAGAGGAGGAAAAGACAGACACACCAGCTTGAGCATCCCATAGCATTCTGGACACTGGAAACAGGTAAACACTACAAATCATGAATGGATTCGTGGTTCTACATTTTGTCCAACTTAGAGAAAGTGAGAGACAACAATGTTAATTAGTGTCCAGGTTAGCCTTCATTAGTCAGCCTGACACAGCCTAGAGTCATCTAAGAGGAGAAGCCTGAATTGAGGAATTGCCTAGATCAGATTAGTCTGTGAACATGTCTAAGAGGGTATGTTTTGTTTAATAATAATACAGGAGGTCCAGCCCCCTGTCAGTGGCATTATCCCTCAGCAGATAGTCTTGGGCTGTATGAGCAAGCTCAGTAAAACAGCAAGCAAACGTTCCTCCATGGTTTCTACTTCGAGTTTCTACTTGTGAAACACAGGCCCTGACTGTGACTTGTAATGTAAACTAAAATAAACCCTTCCTTTCCCAGATTGCTTTGTCATAGCAACAGAAAGGAAGCCCGCACCCTAAAGCAGACTGAATTTCAGTGTGTCCGCTGCCATGATGACATGACAAACGACACAGAGTTGCTCTGCCCGTGGAAAACCTGCCTGACTTGGCAAGGTATTGCTTGTAGTTATCAAATATGTGTTTCCCTTGTCTCCCTTAATTTTTGTCCTACTCTTTAACAAAAGGAGGGACGGACAATATGAGGCTGATGCATACCTGTAGGTGGGGGGCACACACCTGCAAGCCTAGTATTTGGGAAGCTGAGGTAGGAGGTAGGATGATCACAAGTTCAAGGCCAACCTTGGCTATAGGGTAAGACCCTGCCTGAGAAAAACAGAGCAAAGATAGAATTGGACATCATCAGGTTAAGCAAAATAACCCAGACTCAGAAAGACAAAGGCAGCTATAAATTACAGAACAGTAGATTGGGCGCTAGAAGGAGAGAGGAAGAGGGTAATGGGGATAAAGACAAAATGATGTGTAAGTGTTCCCCATATATATGGGACATGTAAACAGAAAGGTGGATGACTTCTGGGGAGGAAAGGGACCAGTAAGGATGAAGAAGGAACAAGGGGGGGGGTCTATATAAGGAACTATACTGATATATATGTACAAAACCATCATAATGAGACCCATTATCCTGTAAGCTATCTGAAACAGCAAAAACAAGTAAACCATTGTTTATGCTTCATTGTGGTTTGAATAAGAAATGATCTAACATTAAATGTGTGCATTGTTTTGGAAGGTTACAGGAGGCGGAGCCTTGATGAGGAAGTGTGTCACTGAGGATGGACTTTGCAGTCTGCCAGCCCAGGCCCACTTTCTGTTCTCTCTCAACTTCTTGGGTCCAGATGAATTGTGAACAACTAGGCTAATACTCCTGTAGCCAGGTCTTTGCTGTCACAGTGGACTGAATCTCCTTCTGGAACTGTAAGACAAAAATCTACTTTTCCTCCCCAAAGTTGTTGTATGTCAAGGTTTTTTATTGCAGCAACAGGAAATTAACTAATGCATGATGGAATTATGTATGCTTCCTCATAGCTATAACTCTAGGCTGGCTGCAGATATTAAGATCTAGGTAAAAAATCTATCAATGGAAGCATGCAGGGAGAATCAGTGAGCTAGAGGAAATTTGTAATCAAGAGTACATCACAGTATTATAAACTTATTACCATGAGTATTGCATCTAGCACATCCCTAAGTAAGCCTTGTAAGAAACTTGCCTCTATCTAATTCAGTATTTATGTTACTGTTTGTTTGTTTGTTTGTTTTTACCCAAGAAAGTCGGTTGTTAGCCATTTGCCAGCACACCCTTGCTTACCTCTTTCTCAGGAATAGATAAATACTTCCAATCACAACACTGAAGAGGAAGACAAAGATGAGGGGCCCGATGATAATTTTGGCAATATTTGATGGGACATCTACTGCAACGGAATAAGAAGGTACAAGTTTAGGATAACATGTATTGGTAGCAAAAATTACACCACTGAACACTGGCTGCTGTCATCTCAGTACCTGGTATTGGGATGGAACTGAGACAGGAGGATCGTGAGTTCAATACCACCCTGGGCAATAAAGCAAATTCCTAGGCTATTTCAAGCAAGACATAGTCTTTACATGTGGGACCTATGTCCTATGGGCTATGTTCTCAGCATGTGGGAGCCATGGCAACTGATGGCTGCTAAGAGGAAGAGTCAGTTTTCTTCAGGGATACGGCCAATGAGAAGCTACTCTATTTCAGTAGATGACCCTATACCTGATACACGCTGGCAACACTAAGTGGACTCAGGGTTTTTGGTGTTTGTCATAAAATTCACCTGAAGTTGGAGGGGAAAGTGTGGGAGACAGCTCAGTCAATAAAGTGCTTGCTTTGCAACCATAAGGACCTGAGTTAGAGCTCCACATAAAAGCATGTGAGGCTGGGCGATGGTGGCGCACGCCTCTAATCCCAGCACTCGGGAGGCAGAGGCAGGCGGATCTCTGTGAGTTCGAGACCAGCCTGGTCTACAAAAGCTAGTTCCAGGACAGGCTCCAAAGCCACAAAGAAACCCTGTCTCGAAAAACCAAAAAAAAAAAAAAAAAAAAAAAAAAAAGTGAAAACCTGGGTGAGGTGTTACAGACTTGGATTCACAGTACAGAGGCATGATGGAGGTGGGTCTTGTATCTTATCTGTTGCTTTCATTGGTTAAATAAAGAGACTGCCTTGGCCCTTTTGATAGGACAGCAGCTTAGATAGGCGGAGTAGACAGAACAGAATGCTGGGAGAAAGAAGCCGAGTCAGGGAGTCACCATGATTCTCTCACCTGACACAGATGCAGGTTAAGATCTTTTCTGGTAAACCACCTTGTGGTGTTATACAGATAATTAGAAATGGGTTAGATCAATATTTAAGAGCTAGCCAATAAGAGGCTGGAACTAATGGGCCAGGCAGTGTTTAAAAGAATACAGTTTCCATGTAATTATTTCGGGTATAAAGCTAGCCGTTGCAGGCGGCCGGGTGCCAGGAATGTAGCTCGCTGCTCCTATTACAACAGAGGCAGACAGGGAGATCTCCCAGCTCATGCTTCATCATGACTTCTGTCACCAGTTCTGTCCTGAGCAAGCCCACTTGGAGCTTTCCTGTGAACTGACAGCAAACTGCCCCCTTACACTTGCTGGCTCATAGCCCATAGGATATATTTGTAAATACCGGTGGCTGAATAAAACTTGGCAAACAAATGTTGTCTGTTCACAAGCCTTGTGTCCCTGCCTCCTCTCTTCTCCTTTAAGAGAAGGGAGGCTAGACTCAGAACAAAGTACTCTGAAAAGTTATAAAATTTTTGAGTTCTAACTTTTTTGAATTTTAATGTACTATTTAACAATTTATATATGTATACAATGTGTCTTAATCACACACACTCCAATGATTAATGATAACAATTTATATATGTATACAATGTATCTTAATCACACACACTCCAATGATTAATGACTTTAAAGTATATACTTTATTATTAATCAGTGTGTGTATGTATGTGTTTGTACATGTGTACTACTTGCCCACGTAGGCCAAAAGGTCGATCTACATCAAGTATCTTCCTATCGAGTTCTCTCTCTCTCTCTCTCTCTCTCTCTCTCTCTCTCTCTCTCTCTGTTTGAATGTTGTTTCTTTTGTTTGTTTTCTTGGAGAGAAGATCTTAGTATGTTAGCCCTCACTAGCCTGAAATACACTATGCAGACCAGGTTGGCTCGGAACTCTGTCTCTGCCTCCCTAGCACTGTCGTTTCTTCTTCTATTTCTTTTTAAGATTATAATATAATTACATCATTTCCCACTCCCTTTCCCCCCTTCAATCCTCCATAAACCCTTCCTTGCTCTATACCTTATTTTTTGAGGCAGGTTGTTCAGTGAACACAGATCTTACTGGTTGGCCAGTATGCCCCAGGGATCTGCCCAAGTCAGGGTTACAGTTTGCGCATGGGCATGCCCAGAATTTTATGTGGGTGATGAGGATGTGAACTCTTGGTAGAAAGGGTCAGCAAACATGTCGAGCTGGTTATATCATAGTTTTGGTAAACCCAAAATGAAAGCACCTGCCACTTCTTTCCCTTGGTGCCATTGTTTAAAATATTCTACCGTTCTTAAAGCACCGAGCACAGATCCAACCACTTGAGGTTGCTATGGAGACTTACAATAATCAGTCACGTAAAAATAGGTGGGTTCTGTCCAGGAGCCATTGCCTGCCAGGGAGGTAGCCCGGACTCGAACACTGTAGTTCCCTGGGGAGAGCCCTCTAAGCCTGCAGCCCCGCTCCAGGGCAAAATGCTTCCTGGAGACACAGAGGTGCAGCTCCTGGAAGAAAAGAAAAGGTGGTTAGTTGAGTTTTGCACATCTGGGCACATCCCTCCCAGGTAAGGACATTACGATTATGCTCCCACGCAGGTCAATCAGAGAGAGTAAAAAGGAAGGCAAGAGCCTGACCTGTCAGAGGCTCTGAGAATTCATTTGTTTCTTTCTGTTTTTATTTGTGGAGGGTGGGGTTGTTGCTTTTGCTTTCTTGAGACAGGGTCTCTTGTAGCTCAAGTTAGTCTCCATAGCACTGGTGATTTGGAGGCCAGTTCTCTGTGACCTAGCCAGGTCCCCAGCCCCTCACTGGAGGATTCTCAGCAAGGGTTCCACCCTGAGCCATTCCACTGCCCCTCACTGTGGTTGGAAAGCAATAATGGAGCTGTGATTCAGGAGGCAAAGAGCTTGCCTAGCATGCTCAAGTCCTGGGCTCCCTCTCAGCCCCACATAACCAGGTTGGTGCACATGCCTCTCAACAAACATAGAAAGATGGAGGTCAGAAATGCAGAAGACCAAGGCCACCCCCTCCTATACTGGCTACATAAGAAGTTTGAGGCCAGTCTTGTCTCAAAAAAGAAAGAAGAAAAAAAATGAGTTGGCATTCCTCTGAAGACTTATTAGATGTAACATCTAAACAAATTTGGGGCACACAACCCTAAGAAGCATGGACTCAGGGCTCATTAGGAGTGAGGCCAGGATCTCTAGGGAATAACTTCGTCAAGTCTGTGATCACCAGACCCAAAATTCCAAAGTTTTCCAAGTAGTTCCATCACTCACCCCTCAACTAAGAACTGGGATGGGAAAGAGAAAACGTAAGAGCCCCTGTGCTCATCAAGTGACATCAGTAAGGAGAAAAGAAATGTGCTGGACGAGGTGCGGGAGGTGGGTGGAGAACTCAGTCCTAAGGTTCTTCCCAACTGAATGAGTCATCAAGCAGAAAAGGACACAAGCCCAGGAGAGCTGCTGAGGGCACAAGGGAGGCCCATCTCTAAGGCTGGATAATCACCATAGATGCCTAATGGGTAGAGCAAGGAAAGAATGCATGGAAGATCAGGAGCATAAGTGCTCTCTGTGAACACACAACACATAGACATACACACACAGAGATACAACACACAGACACAGGTACAAACCACAGCCACAGACAGATACACACACAGTTACACACTACATTTGGGGAGACACACAGAGACAGATACACCACACAAAGAGCACACAACATATGTATGTTGTATACATACACACACATATGCACAACACACACATACACAAAGAAAAATGAACAGGGAAATTTGATCAAAAATAAAGAAACTAGGACTGGAGAGATGGCTCAACAGTTTAGAGCACTTGTTGCTCTTGCAGAAGGCTTTGGTTTGGTTTTCATTGCCCATAAGGCTTACAACCACCTGTAAGTCCAGATTCAGAACATCCAGGTGTCTGCACACAGGTGGCACACATTCACACTAATAACAATGATACACACACACAATCATAGTATACATGCATAAAAGTCAAAAGGAAGGAAGGGAGGGGGGAGGGAGGGAGGGAGGGAGGGAGGGAGGGAGGGAGGGAGGAAGGAAGGAAGGAAGGAAGGAAGGAAGGAAGGAAGGAAGGAAGGAAGGAAGGAAGGACGGACGGATTTGTTATGCAGGTCATAGGGTGCTGACTCCATGCTCTGAGTCATTGTTAAAGTGCCATCTTTGGGAGCCAAAAAGAGACACAGTCCCGGGAGGAAAGGGTCCTCAGAGGATCCTATCTGCTTATAAGGATTTATTATATGTTACTAGAACTCTGAAAGTTTCATGAAGTCAGTTTTGCTATATTAAGGGCATATGGATAAACACGGCCCATCATCTGTCTTATGAAGTTTTATAGGTACACAATAACATTTACATGGAGTTCATGTTGCCTTCAGAGTACAATAGCAAAGTTACGTATGTCTAAAACTAAATTACACTTCAATCATGAAATTATATTCTCTGCCTATATAGCAGTTGTGAATTCTAATTCCAGAGAGAAACACCATGAGGCAGAAGAAAGCAACTTATGAATACAGAGTCGATATATATATATATATATATATATATATATATATATATGTAAAACACATATGAATATGTTCACATGTTTGCAAATCTATAAAAATTAAATAGCTTAAAAAATAAAAAATAAATAAATAAAAATTAAATAGCTTAATTCTATCTGAATACAGAGCCCAGGATGGCCCCCCGAAAAAATGAGGGTTTAGGGACTACAGATGGTCCTTAGTAAAGGGTTTGCTGCAGAAACATGAGTACCCAGTTCAGACCTGCAGCACCTGGTGAAAGGTGGGTGTTCAGCTCTCGGTGGGCTTCCCGGCAGCTTAGAGGCAGCTGTAACATCACTGAGTGTCAGCTCACAGTGGGCCCTCGGGTACCTTAGATATGACTTTGGAGTCTCTACTGAATTCCTACTTTCTTTGCATGCTCACATCAAACGCCACAGTGTCTAGTGTGGCAAAGAGGCACATAAGAAAGTTTTAAATAATGCACTCCTGGCCTGAGATGAATCTCCCTAAAGGGGAGCGAGCCCCATCCCATGACAAAGGACACAGTTTGAAGGACACAGCTAAAAATCTACACACAAATATGATGAAAGACTGGGTAGTAAGATGGCTCAGCAAGCACTTTAGCTTGAAGCACAGTCCAGTGACCTGAGTTCAATCACCAGGACCCACACAGTGAAGAGGCAAGCTGATTCTCAAAAACTGTCCTCTGACTCCTTAAACAGAGCAGGCTATGGCATGGCCACATGCTCCCCTACCTCTTCATACACAATAAATTAATTTAACTTTTTTAAAAATTGAAGTGATAAAAGAAATAAAAGATTCTCAATTGACATTTCTGTCTATCTTCCTGGAAAGATGGTCATCAGGGTTTCAAACTCTAATTAAAGACAGCATCTGATGTGAGAAGCAATGGATAGCTGAGAAACTTAGTTCCTACCCAGTATTGTATACCAGCTTCCAAAAACTAAAACATTCCAGTCTGGAAGGAAGTTCCTTAAGACTCAGAACGTTCTAAAGGGAGGCTCTGAAAGGCTCAGGAAGTCCACACCTCACAAGTCTGAGGAAGTCACTGAAACTTCTGGGACCCACAAGGCCTCGCCTTTCCTGAGGTTATGCAGCAGAACTGCTGAGGAGAGGAGACTCTGACTGGGAGGGTTCTCAGCAAAGTCCTGCAGAGAGCTCCCGGGTTCCAGTTTTCATGCGTTATCATCCATGCTGTGTGGTGGGCTTTCGGTGATGCATCTGCTCTTGAATTATCCCCATGACCATAAGTAAGCCCTTATCCTTGCCACTCTAAATAACTCCCAATAAAAAGTCATTGGCTCATCAAATTGGACCCTGGTCACACCCTTACTTTGGTCTGTCACTGGTCCCAATTTGTTCACATTTCCCCTGGAATAGTTCCATACAACACCAAGATCTGGAATCCTTACCTCATCGCCATATCGCCGATAGCTCACTTCATACAGCACAATCAGACCATTGGGTTCCTTTGGTTCTTGCCACATTAAGTGTACAACATTGTTCTCAAAGATTTCGTGGGTCACAGGGCCAACAATGTCATCTGCCTTAGCTATGAGAAACATTAAAAGCTCAAATATTAACTCTTGAATCGAAATTCATCCCTGCCACCAGGGTCTCAACAGCTGAGGGACCTGGCTGTAATTTTCCCACGTCTTATTTTCTTCATCAGAAAATAAAATAAACTCATGAAGTGAGAAGATAGCTCAGTCAATAAAACCCACGTTCAATCCCCAGAGCCCACACACAAGAGCTGGAACATAATGTTCTGATAATCCAGTGTTGAAAAGATAGACAAGCCGATCCCTGGAACGCACTGACCAGCCAGCCGGACCAAATCAAGTACCAGACCCATAAGAGATCCTAAGTGGATGGTACCTAAAAAAAGATGCCCATGGTTGATTTTTGGCTTCACCACACCTAGGCACACACATGGACACACACAGAGAAAAGATTAGGATACAGTGCGTGACGTTTAATGTTTATTGCCAACCTACATGATGTAGAACCAAATGAAAGATGGGAATCTGAGCTTGTCTGTGGGGGTTATCTCAATTGTGTTTAAGTGAGTTGGAGAGACCCACTTTGGGTGCCACCATTCCCTGCTCGGGATACACACTGTAAAAATGGAGAAAGGGAACTGAAAACCAGCATGCATGTGCTGTTCTCTTCTTCTGACTGTGGATGTGATAGAACCAGCTGCCCCAAGCTCCTTCTGCACTGAAATCCCAGACACAGCGAAATGTACCTTGAACTGTGAGCTAAAATAAATCCTTTCTCCTTTAAGCAGCTTTGTTAAGACTTTTATCAAAACTACAGGAAAAGAAACTAAGATACTCCAGCAAGTCCCAACTACTCAGGAAACACTTGAGTAGGCAGGAGGACTCCCTAAGACCAGGAGTTCAATGCCAACCTCGGAAACAAAGGAAGAGGTCCGTCTAGGAACAGAAACAATAGAGAACACTTTTAGAAAACATCTACACTATGCAAAGAGGAGAGGACTTGTCTGTGGCCCAGTGGGTCTCCAACCCTGTAAATTGTAAACCCAGAAGAAAGCAAGCCCACCTTCAGGCATGGTCCGGGCACTGACGTAGGCAGCCACACTGCACCTCTCTTCTGGGGAGTCTTGGTTGCATGCCTGCAGCTCAATGCGATAGCCAGTGAAGTGTCTCAGGCCAGAGATGACAAGTGACTCCTTGTTCACCACTTTCTCAAATGGCCTGTGTTCCTCCTGACTCGTAGGTGCAATGGTGGAGGAGGTGTTAGGAAAATCTGGAAGTGTAGGCATGGTGGCTGTCACATTCCCCACCTCTTCAAGGGATCTTCGCTTTCGAGATGGCCTGTGGGAAGAAAGCATGTGTGGGGGTCATGACATCACCATCTTAAAATAAAATTATACTGAGGAAAGCAATGCTTAATTAACTAAAAAGAGACTTGAGTGGAGGAGAGGTGCAGAGGACACAGACTGATTTCCACATAGATGTCTTTGTCAGAGACACTGGCTATGAAGGCACACCCACCCTGAATGTTCTTGACTCTAGGGCTACCCCCAAGTTCTCCTCAACATGCTTGATTGAAGGTTTCCAATTTTCTGAAGATTGGTCCATAAGGGGCAGAGTAAGTAAGATTTGGAAAGATGTAGGAGTGTAGCTATTGGGACAGGGGTGTCAAGGGTACCATCTACAGTCCCACACAATCAGTCTGTGATGCTCATGTACACATATGCATGTGTATGCTCATGTGTGTGCAGCTTCACAAGGAGGCCAGAGGACAATCTCGAGTGTTGTTCCTCAAGTGCTGTCCACCTTGGCTTTTTTTCTTCTTCTTTAAAGCAGTCTCTCTCATTAACCTGTAACTCACAGGGAATCACCTCACTTCACTTCCCTGGCACTGGGATTACAAATTGAGTCACCATGCTGGGCCTTGTTTTTAAGACTTGTCTCTATTTCTAAGTCTTTGTATATGTGTGTGGGTATTTGCAAGTGAGTGCAGAGACCCTCCAGAAGAGGTCATCAGATTCCCTAGAGCAGGAGTTACAGGCAGATGTGGGTCACTTCATGTGGGTGCAGGGAACTGAGCTCAGGTCCTCTGTAAGAGCAGTAAGCATTTTAAATCACTGAGCTTCCAGAGTTTGTTTGTTTGTTGTTTTTACTCAATTCCTCATGCTGGCAAGGCAAGCATTTCACTAATTGATCCATCGTCCCAGGTCCTACATTGTCATTCAAACAAGCGTTGTTAACAGAGAGCGCTGTGAAACTTGAGAGGTGAAGCATCGATTCTTGGTAATGAAATTCTACTCTGGGGTTAGAGAAAAAGAAAGAACCATTAAGTGGGCAGATGCCCCTGCCCCTTAAAGAGACACAGAAAATAAATACTGAGAGATGACACATTAAAAACTGCAGAAAGTATATGCGGAAATGTAAATTCTTCATAGCTCCATGATCCACTGCTCCCTCTGCATAATTACTTTTGCTTATAAGCCATGGGAGCGTGATGATGATCCAGCCAGCTGCTTACTACACCTGCTAGATGGGAAACAACCCCTGAGTACTTTCCTAAAACATGAGGTTAAGAGAGCTTCCTGAACTTCCAGAGGACTTGAGTTAGTTTCCCAGCACCCAGATCAGGCCTCCTGCAACAGCTCCACAGAGTCCCACACCCTCTTCTGGCCTCTGCAGACACCTGCACACACATGACATATGCTCACAGATACACAGAAATAAAAAATAAACTCTTTTTAAAAGTCTTAAGATGAAGATTTCTGTTTGGGTATGGCTTTTTCCTCAGCTAAAATTGGGATTTTCTCTTCTCAACTACAAATGGTGTGTGCGCGGCTTTTATATATATGTGTGTGTGTGTGTGTGTGTGTGTGTGTGTGTGTGTGTGTGTACACATGTTTAATTATTTCATATATGAGTACTGTATTTACATCATTTCCACCAACTCCTCCCACGTCATCCACTCCTCAGGACCTTTTTCTTCTCTAATCATCATTCATACATAATATATATACACATATATAAGACCTATGTCAAATTTATTAACACATATATAGCTTATATAAATGTGTATGTACATGCACACACATACACACATATTTTATGGAGTCCATTTAGGGTTGCTCGTACATGCATGTTATCTAGGGCTGATAACCAGGGACTGCATAATCTATCAGGGGCTCATCCGGGATAAACCATCTCTCTGGCCCCAGCACATGACCTTGCTGAAAATTCATTGGCTACAAAAGATCATCACTTAATTCATGATTCATCCTTCACTTAAGCATTTTCCTATTTTTCAAACAAGGGTATCCCCAAGGTACAGTTCAGTGATACAGTGCATGCTTAGCTTATATGAGACCTTAGGTTTGATCCAAAAAGAAAGGAAAAGAACATTCCTATTCTTTCCTCACTATAGTTTTGATTACTGTGTTGTCCTACTATTTTTCAAAGCAGATCCTGGGAAGAAACTATGGCCAGGCTGAAAGAACTCTGAGCCTCTGGAAACCTGTGTGCCTGACGATACTGCACACTGTACATGGTACTGCCTGCAGCCTCACCCACCACCGTGACTCTGGACTTTGGAATAACACTAGAAAGCTAAGGGTTAAAAGCTGGGTTTTGTCTTTCCAAAATTTTCAGAGACATTACAAACATGGCACCAGATAGTGGAGTGGTCAGCCCTCACTGGGACATTTACACTCTCCACAGACTCAGCCCTCACTGGGACATTGACACTCCCCACAGGCTCAGACTCAGCCCTCACTGGGACATTTACACTCTCCCCACAAAGGCCCAGGGAGCATCATGGAAGGGAAGACTTAGCCCAGCATGGCCTTGACTCCCAGGAACACTTCTATCTCTGCATCTCACTTGAGATAATTGGATCTAAAGCCACAAACTAAAGACTGAGCATATTGTCCTTTCATCCCTCATTATGTACAATAGCCTTCTTAAGTGAAAAAAGAAAACAGCTTATTTATTAAGCCTCAATTAGACCCATTCATTTTAGTGAGCCTGAGATAATTTCTATAGTCACAACTGAACCTGACAAAATAACCAGAATCCTCATGCCTCACAACCCACACTGGGGGAGTCATGTCTGAACATCTGAAGACCATGTGCACTCATCAAACACGCCAATGGGCAGAGAATGCATTTTGTTCTACTGAAATTTTTATTTTTAATGTTTATTATTATATTATTTTGTGGGGGAGGTATTTTTCACTTTCAGTCAGTACTCTCAAATACAGAGCCATCTCTCCAGCCCCTGCAGTTTTTAAGATTGAAGATCTATACCAGCTTTACTTTGGATAAGCCTACAAGCTACATGTTGGCCTTTCCTAGCAAAAAGGAAAAGGTTTTGTGTTTATTTAATTTTTGAAGTATTGGGAATTAAACTTTACTTTTGCAGTATTGGGTAGTAAGTCTTGTTTTATCTTATGTGTTTTAATTTTGCACTGCTTGATACTGAGCCCTTTGCTCGGTTGCATTCACTGTTTTACTTTGGTTTTGCAGTACTGTGGGTTCAGCCATTCCTCTGCTTTCCATTTAATCTCATTTCTGCAGTGGGAAAGACTAAACCTATAACTTTATGCATTCATGTATTTATTTACTTTGGTTTTTTGAGTCAGGGTGTCGCTGTGTAGCCCTTACTGTCCTAGAATTCACGCTGTAGACAAGGCTGACCTCGAACTCAAAGATCCTCCTGCCTCTGCCTCCCAAGTGCTGAGATTGAAGGCATGCACAGCCAACACCTGGCTAATTACTATATTTTGCAGTATCTGATATTGAACTCTTGTTTTTCCTTTCTTTATTTTATCTTATTTTTAGGGTATTGAAGGTTGAACTCAAGGCCAGGCACATGCTACACAAGTAATCTGCCAGTGCACTAAAACCTTCCAGCTCAATGAAGTACTTTAAATAGATCTAACAGGTAATTAGAGATTTCTCAGAAAGATGTCTGCAATTGCTCACCAACTGCAGCCCAGTGTGAGGACAGCTTTTTAAAGATTTAATTTCACTAGTTTCATGGGAAGGCATACACGCGCATATAGTGCCCACGGAGGCCAGAGGAGGGCAAGAGATCCCCCAGAGCTACAGGTGCTGGTGGTTGTGAGCCATATGGGTGCTGGGAACTAAACCCCAATCCTATGCAAGGACAGCAAGTGCTCTTAGCCACTGAGCCATCTCTATGACCCCAACCTAATTTTTATATGCACTAGAAAACCAACACTTTTGTGTGAATTTACTTAAATGCTACAATGGCTTGAATGTTTTACCCACAAGATCTCTAAGGTACTCAGCATCCCAACAGGATACTGTAACAATAAAATAAAGGGCTGAAGAGATGGCTCAGTGGTTAGTAGCACTGGCTGCTATTGCAGAGACAGTTCAGTTCCCAGCATCTACGTGGCAGCTCACAACTGTCCATAACTCCTGTTCCAGAGAATCTGATGTCCGCTTCTGGCATCTCCTGGCACCAGGCAGTTACATGGTGCATAGACGTATATGAGGGCAAAATATCTAACCATATTAAAATAAAAATAAGTAAATCCTCAAACGTTATAGCAAGTGAAAAGCCACTGTGTTGATGAATGACTTCTGACAAAGAATATCAAATGAGCCCTCTACTCCATTCAGAAACGTGACTTCATTATTCAGCAATCCCACACTAAACCAGTGACCTCAACCAGAGAATGCTGCCGTCGCTACTCTGGAAGCTGAGATGCTCCTTCTGTGGAGTAGGCTGAGTTCAGGAACTCTTCTCAGCATGGCACCATGTCCAGAATGCTCCTCACCCCACTGAGCAATCTATCCCCAAATATCAACTGGGGATGAGAAATTTAGCTTAGGGTGTGGGCCACACAATTCATGAGCTTCACTGACAACAGATTATATTTCAATTGGCCACTAGAGGTCAGATCTAGCCTGGAAATAGAGACAGACAGTGCTAGAAATTCTTGCCTGCTACTGTGAACAAGGCCACAGCCTCAGCCAGAGAAGCCATCACTGGGGAAAACCCAGCAATGCCTCTTTTTCAAACCATCATGTCGTCAAACGGCCTTCTAAGTGCTTGTTTAGCTCCTCACTGATCTGTGCTGCTCTCAGCTTCTCATTGCAGTGAGCAGTGATTAAAGCATTGACTCATCACTGTTCAAAGTGGTGAGAGTAAGTGCCTGACTGCTCAGCTAGGACTAGCTGGGACATTAGATCAGCCCCACCCCAACGTCTCTGCAGTGAAAAACCTGATTAAGAGTCAAACAGTGGGGAATATTGTCCTCTGGACATGACATGGCCATTGTGCTCACAAACCCACAGCAGCTATGGTTACTTACACAAGACCAACACAAGATCAAGCCAGTTAAAAATTCCAACATGGGGTTGGGGCCCTGCCTGAGGAATTATTGTCAGATGATGGCTACTGGGGAAGGAGAGTCACTTTCCTTTGGAGTTGTGATCAGTGGTAGGTCAACATACATCAAAGAAAGGCCCCACACTTGTTCATAAATTGATAGCACTAATTCAATTCAGAGGGTTAAAAAATAAATATGTATTTTATTAAATCCTTCAAAGCAGCCTCTACCTGTCTCTCTAGACTTGCTTCATGCTCCAACAAGAGCTAACAATGTCTCATCTCCCTGTCTGTCTGCATTTGTCCCTTAATGGCCTCCCTATGACTACTGTCCCTCAGTTTACTGCTGAAATTCAGCAACATTGTATTCCTTTGACCGGTCACCTTTTGTGGTCATATTGCATTGTCTAGAGACCCAGAGAAATGGTCATTAGGAAGGATGAGATTGGGTTTAATAAAAAGTAGAATTCCCTACCACCTGCAGCTGGAACTTCAAGCCTCAGACAGGGTTCTGGGTGTGTGCCCAGCTACCTGTAGTCAGATATTTAGTGAGCAATGCCTGGAGGGAAAATGATGCATTGGGGAAGGACCCAGGAAGTGTGCCCTTGAGTGCATATTTTAGGAAGAGTGTGTTAGTTAAAAATTTTCCCCACATTCATGCCCAGATTTCATTTCCCAGTGAAGGCATTTAATCGGAGAATTTGTGAAGCATCCAGTCTCAAGAGCTGCAGTTCATCACATGCAAAATAAGAAAAGCCCCAGAAATCCCTGATTTTGGGCTTAGCACCCCACACTAACTGAACAGCGACAGGGCCATATGGATGTCCCACAGCTGAGTCATACCTAGTGTCCTCGGCACCACTGCCTGCAGAGGGTTTTCTGTGAAAACAAAATTCATTGCTTTGAGGACAGACAGAATTTCAACCAAGGGACCGTTTGGCTCTGACACCCCTGAAGCAGTACTCCCTCCAAGAAAGAGCACTGTTATGTTTGGGATGTGGCTTGACTCTGTTCCCCAAGGGTCACCTACTGGAGATTTGGAATTTGGAGTGGTAATAAGAGGTAGTAGCAGAAAAGGAGCAATGGAAGAGGAACAGCAGAAGCTCTTCACTGGCTCTTCCCTAGTCTGTACAGCTTCCCGTCTCATAACAGAAACCCCTCCCACTCTAATGTCCTCTTTTTTGATATATCACCAAAACTGTGAGCTAAATCAATCTTTTTTTTTTTTTCATAATGTGTCGGATCTTGGCTATTTCATTTTAGTAACAGAAAGAAGACTAACACAAGTTCTGCCATCATTGGCCAGTGGAAAAGATCTATCTATACTTTTCCTGAAGTGCGGGAAATCCAGGAAAAGTGGGAGAAAATGACTTCAGAATTCCCATGAATGTCATATATGACTATATCTAGCCATAAGCAATTCAGCCATTTCTCCAAATCCAGCATCATTTAAGTCCTTACTGTTTTGTGTGTGTGTGTGTGTGTGTGTGTGTGTGTGTGTGTGTGTGTGTGCATGCAGGCCACCTTCTGAGACAGAGACTCACTGGTCTGGAATTTGAAGAGTTGGTTGAGATGGCTAGCCAATAGAGCCCCAAGCATCCTATGCTATGGGATACCTTCTTAGCTATGGGCTTACTAGCAAGTGCCACCACAGCTGGCTCTTTTAATGTGAGTTTTAGGGGTGGAGCTCAGATTCTCATGGCAGCATAGCAAGAGATTTACTGGCTGAACCCCCTCTCCAGCCCAGCATTTTGGACTCAGTTATGGCAGAAGATACTATAAAGAAAGAAAAATGAAAATAATGGTTCTGGAGATGAAACTACTCAAGGGAAAAACGAGTGGACATTAGAAACACTAGAACTTTGTTCGGTCCCAGCGTGGACTTTCTAGAGCTTTGATATGCTCTGGAAATGGAAAATTCCATCTAATTTGGAAGATGGGTGGGCAGGGGAAAAGTCTGATGAAGAATTTGAGGGAAAGCGATGGAAAAGTACAAAGAAGCTCAGCAGCAGGCATATTCAAAGCTCGTGTTCTTGGAAACATCTGGAAGTTTCCAGAAGTATTCCTGGCTGTCATATCTGGGATAAGAGATACTACTAGAATTGAGCAGCTGCGGACTAAGAATGCTGGTCAGCACCCTTTTGCCCAGGATGGGTTCCACCACACAGAGTAGCAAGTATGGATCCAAGTATGCAATGTGATGGTTGAGAGTCGTTCAGGCATACAACCTTAAAATACAAGGAGCAATTACAAGCCCAGGGCATCCATGAGACCTACATTCTTGGGTTCAACCAACTATGAATCAAAACTATTTGTAGACCTATCCGGCAAGATGCGCCCAGTGCCACGAGCATTACAAGAGGTAACCAACTGCTCTCAGGGATTTGAGGTCCGCTCCACAGGAGGGAATTCATGATTCAGGAAGCAATGGGCTCTAATTGGGAACCTACCATTGCTGCTTTGCTAAATGAACATGTTATCAAACTACCCTTTAAAATATTTTTGTTTATGTACATACGTTAGTACTGTCTCAAACCTAATCAGAGAAACTTCCTTTTACACTTAGCAGAGACTCACAGTTGATCAGTGCTGAGAATAAGTAACTATTGAGTGTGCAGCAATTAATCTGTATTAACTCCACTACCATGGCTCAGAGAATGAAATACGCAGAAGTGGAGAGAATGTAAGAGCAGAGGATGGGGAGGAGTGCTATGAAATGCTGTCTTTGGACATGACATGGCCATTGCACCCATGAACTCAGTGCAGCTGGGGTTACCTGACACAAGATCAAGTCAAGGTCACTCAACATTTCAGTGGGTCTAAAAATGAAGAGAAAGAGGAAGACAAGAACAACATGAAGGAGGCAGACATGTTGATGGGAATATAAGGGGAAAGTGAGGGTCAATATGATCAAGATACATGTATACATGTATGAAACTGTCAAAGAAGGATTCTAGAAAGTTGTGTCATAGTGAACACATATAAGCATTTTTCTTGTTGTGAGACCCATGTTACACAATATGGTGTAACAATTATTTATTTATATAGTAGGTGCACTATCTGAAGATGTTATAAGTTATCTAAAGATGAAGGTATGAGTGGGTTCTTTGCAGATATTATGATGTTTATATAAGAGACTTGAGAATCTGTGGAGTAACCCTCAGGGTCCTGAAACCAATCCACTAGAGACACCAAAGGCCAACTGTGCAGTGTCAACTGTGCAGATGAGAAAGCTGGGACACAGAGCAGTATGGTAACTTGCTCAGACCCGTACATGTAAGAGTAGAGAGCCCAAACGGACAGCTTCTAGAGTCCCTGTTATCAACAGCTCCACCATTCTGTAAGACATATGCATGGGATGGGCCTAGATCCAGGCATGTCTGCTGCTGTTTTCAGTTCAAATCAAGCACAAGAAAAGGAATAAACTTGTAACCCACAGGTGTATTTGTGTGCGTGCACACACACACATGAATATATAAGTGCACATGTGACCCACAGGCATATTTGTAATGGCACCCTCTCCAAGCTGAAAGACAGAAAGAAAGCCAGCACATGCTAAGTTCTGACCTGGGGACAAAAACCACATTATGCAGGTAATCCTCAAAGGTCTTCCTAAACGAAGACTCTTCCAGCTCCTTCAGGATCTGAGAGTCGGTCTTGGGGCAGGAACAGCATTCGCTGGCTGAATCGTCATACTCGCTCTGATTGTGCTTCTGAGAATCATCAGACTCAAAAGGTGGGGACCAGGTCCGTGAGGGGAGCTTCAGCCCTGGGGAGAGGCAGAGCAGAGGGTTCAATCTCCGCCAGAACACACACACACACACTGAGGTCAGAGGTCCATCTTGGGTGTCATTCCCTAGGCCACAGCCACAGCCCTTCATTGGGGACTCTAGGCAAGCACTCTATCACAAGCCATGTTTCCAGACCTTTCCTCACTGAGACAGGGCTTCACTATGTTATCCAGTCTGATATTGAACTCACTCTGTACCCTAGATTGGCCTGGTGTCTCATTCTTGCATCCTCACCCTCCCAAAGGGTCAAATTACAGTCTTATAACACCAGTTCTGGAGTTATTGTGTGTGCTTGTGTGCATTCTGTGTGTATATGTATATATGTATATGTATATAACATATGTATATATGTTACCTGTATCTATGTACTCTCACCCATGTGGGTGAATACAAATGCCAGAGGTTGATAGTGAGTGTCTTCTACAACCATTTCTTCATCTTTTTATTGTTATTAAGTTAATTTTATGGGGGAGCAGAACAAGCCAAGTTACACATGTGGAGATGAGAGGAACACTCAGGAATCTATTTTCTCCTTCCACCATGTGGATTCCAGGAATTAAAGTTAGTCTGTAAGACTTGGCAGCAAGTATCTTTACTTCCTGATACATCTGCCAGCCCTCCACCTTACTTACTAGACAGTCTCCTACTAAACTTGGGCCTCATACTTGCTAGGCTGGCTGGCTAGCACACTCCAGAGGTCTGCCTGTCTCTGCCTCCCCAGTGTGATGGCTACAGATGCATGCCACACACCCAGCTTTCTTCTACATGGGTGTTGGGGACCCAAACTCAGACCCTTGGGTTAGCAAACCTGTTATCCAGCATCATTTCATTAGACCCGAATTTACCACAATTAAAAAAAAACAATCAGTTGGTGACACTAGTAGAAAGCTATTACTGGTGATTTATTTACACGACTGAAAGTATGATTAAATAAACACAAAACGTTGCCATCTAACCTTGTGTTGGTATACAGCTAGAGGCACTGTACGTTTACAGTGTGGCACAATCACTGCCTCATTCAACACTGACTCTCCATTTCCTCCTAAACTGGCCTCCATACTCTGCCTCCCTGTGAGTCTAAGCTCTTGGGGGCTGGTGAAATGACTCCATGGGTGAAGTGGCTGCCATGTAAGCATGAGGACCTGAGTTCAATCCCTAGCACCCACATAAAAACCAGACATAATAACACTCATCTTACTCCCCAGTGCTAGAGACAGGAGGATCCCTGGAACTCGCTGGCGAGCCAATCTAGCCAAATTGGTGAGCACTGAGTTCAGTGATAGACCCTGCCTCAAAAAACAAGGTGGAAAGTCACAAAGCAAACATCCAACATCAACCTCAAACACAGCCCTATGCATGTTTCCAGCCGAGTGTGAATCCGTGCATGTGAACACTGGGGAGATGGCTCAGTCCAAACACACGAGTAGAAATGAGCATGCACGCATAAACACACATGTGCAAATAAATTTTATGATGATCAAATATCAGACCATTTTTAAACAGTCCTGTTGTATTCATGGATTTAAAGTGGTTTTATGTTTGTTCTGAGACTGTTTGTTTTATGTTTGTTCTCGTATAGCCCTGAATGGCCTCAAACTTGCTATGTAGGTAGTGATGATGTTAAATGCCTGACCTTCCTGCCTCCACTTCCCAAATGCTACAGTTGCAGGCCTGTGCCACCACACTGGGTCTGTGTGGTGTTGGACATGGACACGGAATTTCTTGCATGCTAGGAAGCCCTCTACCAGGCAAGCTATACCCTCAGCCTCTGCAATCACGAGTTTCCATTTGCAGAATGAAAGTTTGCTGCGTTTAGCCTGGCACTGTAGTAAACAACTATCATCGTAGCACTTGAGTTTGAGGCCAACCTGAGTCACATGAAACCTTGTTTAAAAACAAAAAAACAAAACCAAAACCAAACTTTTCTAAAAGTTAGTAGGTTTTTTAAACAAGACAAAAACAAGCAAAAAAAGTCTTGGCACTGCTGGAAGCATGGGTAGCAGGTGGTTTTGTACACTCAAATGTAGCGTCGACAGGTCAGAGCTGAGCCCAGGACTGGGCTTGCTCTCAAGTTATATAAAGTATGCAAGGAGACAAATCAACTTGCTGATCCTGGCCCAGGCGGGCATGATGTCACAGGCATGCATATAGCACATGATCTTAGAGTTGGGACTGTTCCCAGGAATCATCTGTCCTCCACCCCTTCTCCACAAAAGGAGACAGACTACTTGCTGCGTGACTTAGCCAAAACCAGACACCAGGCCAGGGGTGGATCTGAGCACAGACCTCAGCCACACCTCTCCAGCAGCCCCCTTGGCCTGCTTCTGCAAGGTCACAGGCCAGCTAAAAAGGAATCAAAGACAAAAGTCACAACTAAATGAACAGCAAATTTTCACCTTCTCAGATTGATGGTGGATTGCGGCAGTTTGTTTTGTTTTAATACATTTAATGTGGTGTGTGTGCGCATGCATGCCATTGTGGGAGGAGGGTCAGATTATAACTTTTGGCTCTGAGTACTCTCTTTGCACCATGTTGGTCTTAGGGATCACTTGGGTCATCAGGCTTGGCAGCAAGCACCTCTATCCACCGAGGCATCTTGATGCCCCACCCGCCAGGCTTCTTTTTCGATAACCCACTTTTAGCTATTGTGAAACATACGATACAGTGACCATGCAAGACAACTCTAGAACAGTTGCTATAGCTACTACTTTGGCAGCCTGTCCACTAGGCTTTTCCACTGTGCTTGTGCAGACACAGGTACACCTCAGCCTCTATAACCAGTGGTGGAAAGATTTTGAATGTTTCTATCACACGGAAATAGTGAAGACATTCACTACTCAGATTTGCTTTTTACATATTTTATGTATGTCTATGCACTGTGTGGCTCACGGCTGAAAGAAGCATTGGATGTATTTCACCATTGTTGGTGCTGCAGTCCTCAGACTGCACCCAGGACTTTGGACACTCTGGGAAAGTGCTCATCACACAGCACTGCATTTGGATTTTTGGCAGCCTCTAAAGTGTGAATCCACGCGCAATGTCTAAAACGTGTGTGTGCACTGGGGAGATGGTGAGTGTGAATCCATGTGAAATGTCTAAAGATCTGTGTGTGTGCTAGGAAGATGGCAAAGGCAGGGGTCCAAGTTTGATCCCCAAAACCCATGTAAAAAGCTGGTTGTGGTGGGGTCCGTTTGTAGTACATTTGTAATCCGAATGCTGGGAAGATGGGGAAAGGCAAATTCTTAGGGGTCACTCATTAGCACAGGCTAGTGAAAGATCCTGTCTCAAATAAAAATAAAAATCCACAAAGCGAGGGCTGGGCTATAGCTCGGAGGCAGCGTACTTGCCTAGTGTACATGAGGCCCTGGGTTCAGTGCACAGTACCAAAATCTTAAAAACTGAACAGGTAAAAAAGCTTGCCCCCATACTGCTTGTGTTTGATCCCTGGTGCCCACATGGCTGGCCAGACAACAGACTCCTGCAAGCTGACCTCTGACCACTAACCTCCTCACACATGTCTGCCCACACAGAAAGACTAGGTAAATCAGTAAATAGAATAAAAGTATTTTTAATTCAAAGAAAATATGGGATGGGGATGTAGCTCTGTTGGGGTAATGTTAGCACCCATGCAGTCCTGCATTTGAATTTGAATTTCTGGCCCCGCATAAACTCAGTATGGTGGTACAGTCCTGTAGTCCCAACACTTAGGAGGTAGAGGCAGGAAGAGCAAAAATCCAATGTCTTCCTCAGCTACATAGTTTAAGTTCAGTGGTCTTTGTGAGACCCTGTCTCAAAAAAAAAAAGTTTAAAAATAAGGTATACAGCATTTTTGGACATACATCCAAAGTTGTTCTTTGAGCTCTACATTCTACACATACATGCACACATGACCTGTACACACACACATACGCACACACATATAAACACAAAGTGTGTCTTATGTGAGAAAGAATGGAATATGAGCAAGTGTGCACATGCACATGTATGTGTGTGTGTGTGTGTGTGTGTGTAAGCACACGTGCTTGTGCGGGTACCCTGGGAAACAGGAAAGGAAACCTGTGTCCCCATAAGAGAATCAAGATACAGCAACCGCATGACAGTTGCCTGTGCTCACCTTTGAGACAATAATCCAACTCAAACAGCTCGCTGTCCTCTGCCTGCCTCTCCCAGTAGACCAAGTAGTGTGTGATGTTGCCGTTGGGGTCAGAGGGGGGCTTCCACTTTAAGATAATCTGAGATGAGGAATTAGAAACCGATATGGGGTCCAGGGGGACAGAAGGATCTGCAAAGGAGAAAAGAAATGAGTTACCATGAAGGAGAGCAGGTAAGTTGTTGGGTGTGCCTAAGCAGGGGATAGTGGTCCAACTGAAACCACAGCTCTGTCTGCTAGAGTTACTTAACATCAGAGAAAAGTAGGCAGTTAAATGCTTGCCCAGCCCAGGCGGGAATGACTGCCTATTCACACCGTGGATTTTGTGCCCACCATGTGTCATTCACTGCACAGACCGGCTCTGTCAGATGCCAAAGCCCTTGCTGTTGTGGACACTAGGAAGGATGTTCCTGGGGCCAAAGACAATCGAGGGAAGAAATGAATTCTGGTTAACAGGGGCATGAAATCAAACCCAGTCACCTAACGCACTTGAAACCATCAAACTATATCTGTTTTTGAGACAGGTTCTCATGTAGCCCAGGCTAGTCTCAAACTTGGTAAGGTAGCCAAGGATGTACTTTAACTCCTGTTTCTTCTACTTACCTCATGCATGCTTGGATGAGACACATGCACCCCAATACCTGGTTTATATGGTTGTGGCGATTTAACCTAGGACTTCATACAAGCAAGGGAAGCACTCTACCAAGCCAGCCACATACCCAGCCCCAGATGGTGTTATTCAGATGTCACACACCAGCCTACAAAACAGAACCTAAACTCCCCCTCTGAAGAACAGTGGTACCTGAGGCTAGGTAGATGGCTCAGTGGTGATGCACTTGCCACAGAAGCATAAGGACAGGTCAGATCCCCAGCACCCACATAAAGCCAAGTAGCGACGGCTGTAGCACCCTACCTATAAACCCAGCAGCCAGAGACAGAGGATCAGCAACCTCTGGATGTACTGAGAGAGCCTGCCACAATATATAAGATGGAAAACAATTGAGGAAGACTCCAGTGTCAACCTCTGGCATATGCCACATTCAAATATGATACACACATGCAACCACATGTGTGCATGCACACACAGAATGTTGGAGGCTGAGAGAGTTGGAGAGGGTGGACATGGAGTTCTCAAGGCAAAAGCAAAAAGTGTGCAAAGAGCAGGGGGGTAGAAGGTTCTGGAAACTAAACCTTGGTCTAGATACTACATGACAGTAGAGATAGTGAAGAAGCTAGAACAATGGATTCTGTTCTGTGTGAGGGGGTTGCTTATTCTCTACATGTTGACATTTAGGGCAGAGACCTCTTGTCAACCATTCCACTTCCCAACTGTGACAGTAGAAATGTCTCTAGACATTGCCAGGCATCCTCCCTTCCCTGGGAGGGACAAAATTATCCCTACTTGAAAACTACTAAGCTAAGAAACGGGGTTAATCTTGACAGAAATATAATGAAGTTGCTATGAGACACTATAGCCAGAGAGAAAAAAATAAAGAAAAATTAAAGAGAAAGGAGACGAGAGTAGCAATAAAACAAGATTGCGCCCTATGGAAGCTGGGAGATGCTCAAATGAAGGCACTCTTTCTATACTTGAAAAGTTCTCATGACAGAATAGAAAAGAACATGCAGTAGTCCCTCCTTATCTATGTGGCACATTTTATAACTGCAGTGGATATCTGAAACCACATACAGCACTGAACCATCAATGTTTCCCCATATTACATACCTATGATAAAACTTTACTAATACAAAATAACAGCAATAATAAAACAACTAAAATAATATATAGTAACAGAAGTTGTTTTGTTGTTATTTTCTGGGAGCTTATTGTTTGTTTGTTTGCTTGTATGTTTTTAAGACTGAATCTTGGTCCTGCCTTGAAGTGATGTGTCCGACTTTGTTGATTCCCCATGGGAAGTCTTACCCTTTCTGAGAAGTGGATGGCGGGGGAGGTGAGGCAGGAGGAAAGGAGGGAGTGGGAACAGAGATAGCTATATAAAATGAGAAAAGATTGTATTAAAAAAATTCTTACATCAAAAAAAGAAAGGACTGGATCTCACATAGTCCAGGTTGGCATCAAACTCAGTATGTAGATAGAGATGACCCTGAACTCCTGACCCCCCTGCCTATACTTCGTTGCTGTTTTGAGATTGTAACAAGGTCTTGATACGTAGCCCAGGCTAGTTTCAAACACACAGCAATTCTCTTGCCTCAGGATTCCAAGTAATAAGACTACAGGTGTATATAACCAAGTCTAGCTCTCATTTTTAATTAACTAATTATTTACTGATTGAATTAACCTCTCCAAAGATAGGTCTCACTGTGTAACCCTGGATGGCCTAGAAGTCACTACTTAGACCAGGCTGAGCTTGAACTCAGAGATCCATTTACCTCTGCCTTCCAAGCAAAGCCTCTCGCCTCCCCATGACAAGTGTTGAAGACAGTCTTGTGCAGGTAACCACAGATGCTGAGTTCAATAAGGTATGTGTTAATATATGCGTGGTGTGTGTACATATGTGTATATATGTGTGTGCATGCATGTGGTATGTGTCATGTATGTGCATATATGTGTGTGCGTTGCATTAGTGTGTACATGTATGTTGTAAATGGTTATGTGTGATGTTATATGCATGTTATATGTGACCTATGTGTTATATGTGGTGTCTGTTTGTTATATGTGGTGTCTGTGTGAGTGTTATAAGTAGTATGTGTGTATTACATGTTATATGTATGTTATATGTGGTAGGTGTGCATGTTACGTTTGGTGGATGGGTGTGCATCTCTATGTGTGTGTGTTACATATAGTATTATATGTGAAGTGTGTGTTACATGTGGGGTGTGTATGTACGTATGCCTGTGTGTGTTAGATGGGTAGTGTCTATGCATGTGCTGAGGCCAGAGGAGGAAGTCAGGCACACCATTCTATCACTGTCTACCTTGAAATAGGATCTTTCACTAAAACTAAAGCTAGGCTGGCAGCTATCAAATCCTAGTGACCCCCTTGTCCCTGGCCGATGAGCCAGTGTTCTGGGGTTATAGACATGCACATGGCCACACTCTGAGGCACAAACATGGTCACTACCAGCTTTCAATGTAGGTGATGGGAACAGCACTCAATCGTCCCCACTGAGCCATCTGCCCAGCCCGAGTGTTATCCTCTGGAAATATGAGCCTCAGCCTTTAGCTCCTCCAGAAGCCAATCACAGGACATCACTAAGTTGTCTACCAAAGGCAAGAGAGTCAGTTCAAGCCCATATTCACAGGACACACTTACTGGTGGCATCTGTCTGCACATAGATGATGTCACTTTTGGCTCCGTAGGTCCGGCGTTCATCTGAGAAGGTAACCAAGGTCTTGACAAAGATGGCATATTGGGTCCAGGGCTTGAGACCCCGCATTAGCCACCCAGGGTGGCTTGGGGTTTGAGACTTGGGGTCGTTGGACCTCTGGGGTGGGTCAATATCTACCACAGTCCAGCTGTTGGAGCCACAAGCATCCTGACCATCAAACTCCGTCACATTCTGATAAGGGCTTTTGAGAAATAAGAGGGAGAGCTAGGTTACTACTGTGTAAATGTCAATCCAGTACTATGTGGAGTGGGGACTTGGAGAGTTACAAGACGTAGACTCCTTCTTTTCTGTTTGGTGTGTGTGTGTGTGTGTGTGTGTGTGTGTGTGTGTGTGTGTGCCTGTATGTGTTTGTGGCAGTTCACTTGAGTGTGTGTGAATGGACATGAAGGAAACCATCAGGTGCCATCTTCCTTGTTTTTCCTGTTTGTTGAGACAGACTCTAGTCCCGGCTGGCCTCAAAGTCACATAAATGTGCCGGCCTCTTGTCTCCTCATTATTGGGATTAATTGCATTCACACTTAATTCCCACCTTGTGATTTGAGATAGAGTGATCTTCTCTGGCCTGAAATTCACCTCATAGACTAGGCTAGCTAGCCAGAGACCCCAAAGATCTGCCCATTTCTGCTTCCTTGGAGCTGGGATTTCAAGAGTATTCCACAATCCATGGCTTTCTGAAAGTGAGAATGTGTATATGAGTGTGTGTAATTGTATTCATGTGCCTTCAGGGGACAGAGAAAAGGCTGGATCCCCTGGATCCCCGCATCTGGCGACTGTGAAATGCCAGACTTGGATGCTGGAGACCAAACTGGGGTCCTGGAATGCAGTGAGCACCTGTTGAGCCTTCTCTCCAACTCCCAGAAGTGAACCTTTTCCTATTTCCAATTCTGAAATGCAGGTCTGCTCCAAAGCCAGCAGCACTGAGGTGTGATAAGCCCATGATGCTGACTCCAGTCACGGAGCACCGAATCTCAGCCTACCAAACAGCCATAGCGTAAATGACTAAGACCGCAGCAAAACCAGTTGGGGTTTAGTAACGTAGGTGCCGTCGATGAATTTCCTTTCTATTTTTTTCCTTCCCACCCCAACATTGTCTATTTACTATATTCTCAATATCAGTTATCAACATATGACCACTGGGCCTGGGAAGAGGACTCAGTAGGCAAAGCATGTGATGTACAAACATGAGGACCAGAGTTCAATCGCTAGCACACACATAAAGGTCAGCATCTGTAATCCCAGCACTAGGAGATAGAGACAGGTACATCTCTAGTCTGAATAAAAAGGAAGATGGAGGAGAGCTATGAAATGCTGACTTCTAGACATGACATGCTGCACACACCAACTCAGACCAGCTGTGGTTGCCTGCACCAGATCAAGCCAGTCAACATTCCAGCATGGATGATGTAGGACTTCAAGGTACTCCCCTAGCCAAGGAGTAGTATGTAGCTGCTAAGAGAGTCTAAGTCACTCCCCTTTGGGAGTGATAGACTGTTCATGCTCCAGTGGATGGGTCCACATGCATGCACATATGGGCAGCACCAACTGGATTAAAGGGGTTGTCAACAACACACAGAGAACACGAAGTTGGGAGGGAAATGGGATGAACACACTAGGGAATGTTGGAGGCAGACAGTGGTGGGTAGATATGATCAAACATACATTACATAAATATATGAAGATTTAAAAGCACACACTTAAGATATTTTCTTATTTTAAAGGAGAGTGTGAACTAAGCACCAGTTCATCTCTCCACTTCCTGACTGCAGGTGCAGGGTATCCAGCTGCTTCGCACTCCTGCTACCATGACATCCCCACCTCACAAGCCAGGAGCCAAGATAAGCCCTTCCTTACAGCTCTGTCTGTCCCTGCAATAAGGAGCATAACAAATAGTCCGCCTCCTTTGACTTACGCCTCTTTGTAGAAAAGCATGAATCCCAAGAGGTCTCGGAAGTCAGGGGGCCAGTAGGGCTCCCACCTCAGCAAGATCTTGTCAAAAGATGTCCGAATGAAAGAAAATTTAAGTAACTCATTTTCACCTAGAAAGGTTCAAGAGAAAAAAGTCAGGCAATTGGAATTCTGAATAGCTCATTTCAGAATAAAGAATTCAGCCTCCTGCTTCTTGGGGAGGGGAAAGACTGAGGGATGGCAGGAGTCCTAGCTTCATTTTGTAGCTGTGATAAAATACTGTGACAAAAAGCAACTTAAGGGAGGAGGAGCTGTTTGTTAGGTGAGAGTCTATCATATTTCAGGGATATTAGACAGGAACTCAAGCCGTTAGTCATATCTCATCATCCACTGTCAATAACAGAGAGAGATGGGTGCATGGGGGATGCCTGCTTGGCGCTTATACTTAGCTAGCCTTCTCCATCTCATATTGTTCAAGATCCAGGCCATGAAACAGCTCTTCTCACTTCAATTAACAGTCAAAATAAACCCCAAGTCAGCAAAGCCTACTTGATGAGCTCTGGGCCAGCAAAAAAAACACCAAAATGACCAACTGTCATCCAAGAAAATGCTCCACAGATAAGCCTACAGACCAACCTGATCTGGACAGTTCCTCAATTACGATTATTTTTCCAGGTGATTCTAGATTGTGTCAAGTTGAAAATTAAAATGGGGTGTATATAATCTGCTATTGCTTACATAGGTCTCATCCACATAAGCAGAGAAATGATCTTGCTGAGTTTGAAATGTGGGGAGTCAGCAAATCAATTAGGTGTTGAAGACTCAACCAAATAAGATGCTCAACTAAACTGTGGATGATCCATGCCAAAGCAAAAAGGACAACTAGTCAGCCATTTTTTGAGCAAAGGGATCATCTCTTTTTTTGTGTATCTATACATGTGTATGCATGTTCATGTATGTGCAGGAGTGATATCTAATCTTAGTTGTCAACTTGACACACCTGGGAAGAGGGAATCTCAAATGCAGAACTTCCTCAATCAGATTGGCCTGTTGGCCTCTGGTCATGTCTGTGAAGCAAGGAAGGAAGGAAGGACCCAGGCTACAGTATGCAGAGCCATCCGTAGGTAGGTGGCCCTGGGCTGTATAAAAAAGTTAGCTGACAATAAACAGCACTCTTCCATGGTCACTGCTTCAGTTCCTGCCTCTAGATTTCTAACTTGAGTTCTTGCTTTGGCCTCCCTGAATGATGGATTGTGCCCTAGGAATGTAAAATAAAATAGACACTTTCTTCGTCAAGATACTTTTGGTCAGAGCAGCAGAATTGAACCATCTCTCTGGCCTCAAACTTAATCTTGTCATTTCTTCCCTGGTGATGGAGATTGCTGCATTGATTTCATCAACCTTGACACCCTCAGCATTAGCTTTATGCTTATGTGGCATCAGACACTGTACTTTGTGCAGCTGACTCAGATAAGATACATAAAACCTGCCTCTGGTGGGCTGGGGAGACAGTTCACTTGGTGAATGCTCTCTTTGTAGGTTGAGGGCCTGAGTTATGTCCCCAGAACCTCATTTTTAAAAAAAAGGCGGGGGGGGGGGGGGGGATAAGGGAAGAACAAACAAAAAGAAAACTCTGTGGTGGTTTGAATGAGAATGGCCCCTATAGGCTCATATGATTGAATGCTTGGTCTCCAGTTAGTGAAACAGGGGAATCCCTAAATAAAGGCCGGGACAGACCATTGTGTGAAGCTGTGAGGATGAAACCTGGACAGCACTGGAGACCCCAAGATGCTGGAGATGCCAGAGCCATGGGATATCTGTCAAGGATAGTTGCCCAAGAGCACCAAGTGTGTTGCATCCAGCAAAGCTGGAAAGGAAGAACTGTCTAATACAAAATTTGGAGTTTGCCCAGCTAGCCTTTAATCTTGCTTTGGTCCAGTATTTCCTCACTATGCTCTCCTTCCTCCCTTTTGGAATGGTAATGATATCCTCTGCCACTAAATGTTGCAAGTATGGGATCTGTTTTTTGATTTTACAAGAGGTTACAGTTAAAGAGACTTTCTTGCATATCAGAAGAGACTTTGGATTTTTATTTTTTTTATTCTTTATTTATTTATTCATTTATTTATTTATTGGTTTTTCAAGACAAGGTTTCTCTGTCTAACAGTACTGACTGTCCTAGAAGTCACTTTGTAGACTAAGCTGCCCTCGAACTCACTGAGATCCATCTGCCTCTGCCTCCCAAGTACTGGGATTAAAAGCATGTGCCACCACTGCCCAGCAAGACTTTGGATTTTTAAAAAGTGTTGAAACTGTGGGAAACTTTGGAGGCTTTTGAAGTTAGAATGGATACATTTTGCACAGGGAGTAGACTGTGATGGTCTGAATAAGAATGGCCCCATAGGTTCATATGGTTACATGCTTAGTCCACAATGGAAGTGTTTGAAAAGAATTACAAGGTGTGGCCTTGTTGTAGGAAGTACATCACTGGGGTTGGGGTTTGAGATTCAAAAGGCCATGCAAGGTCCAGTTTCTCTCTTCTCTCTACCTGCTGCCTATGTATCAGGATGTAAGCTCTCAGCCCCAAGCCTGCCTATCTACTGCCATGCTTCCACCATGAAAATGGACTAAGCTTCTGAAACTATAAGCTAGCTCAATTAAATGTTTTCTTTTATAAGAAATGCTTTGGTCATGAGTCTCTTCAGAGTAATAGGACACTGAGTAAGATAACGGTGCACACTCCCAACCCCAGCACTGAAAAAGTAGGAAAGGCAGATCTCTGTGGTTCTCTGACCAAACCCACAAAGCCTACTGGTGAGCTCTAAGCAGCAAGAAACCCTACCTAACAAAAAAGAAAAACAGTGGATGATGCCTAGGGAATGACAACTAAGGGTGTCTTTTGTCCTACACACACACACACACACACACCTGGACACACAGACATGCACATGTACACACACATATACACACACACATATGCACACACATACACACCTGCCTTTGGTATTTTAAAACTCCTCTCCCAGAAAGCTGTAGCTCAACAAAGGACAATGGCACTTTCCTGGGGACTAGGGTGGTGGCTGAGAGAGGGCAGCCATTAGGAACATAAAGATGAAGAGACTTACAGGATGCCTGGTCCCCATTGGTCTTCAGGGCAATGTCGTTCCTCTCCTGGCGGCCCTTAGTTCCAGAAATCTCTTCCATCTTATGGATTTCTGACAAGCAGAGTTTGGGGTTGTAGTGGAAGAAGAGCTTGCCCTGAGTGATGGTGAGGTTGTGCTTGCTCCAGTCCCAGAGCTGCCTGAGGTTCTGGTTGTCCAAGGCATAGAAAGAGTAGTTCCTGCAGATACACACGGCTAGTCACTCCACAACCCATCGTCTTCAATCCCAAAACGCCAGGGGCCACAGTACACACAGTGGGTTGCAATTTTGTTTTAAAAGAAAAGAAATGAACTTGAGAGGGAGTAGGGGTGGGGTGGATCTATAAGGAGTAAGAGGGAGGTGTAGGGGCTGATTATGATCACAATATACTGTATGTATATAAGAAATTCTCAAGAATTAACTGTAAATATCACAGTTAAAAAAAAAAACTAAAAACTAGGCATCAAGGGTCAGGCCTGGAGTTGGCCCCTTCATTTTAGCTGTGGGCCCACTCCTAACCATTTGCTTCACACAGACTCACAAATTATTTTTGGGACTGTGGAGAACAAAGAAATTCACAAGATTTCATGGCCAGGAATGTACAGAAAACTCTCCTAGAATCCCTCAGTGAGGGACTAGGGGTGCAGCTAAGGGGCAGAGCTTCTGCTTAGAATCCCCTAGTGAGGCTGAGGGCATGGGTCAGGAGTAGAGCATCTACCTAGCATCCCCCAGTGAGGGGCTGGGATGTGGCTCAGCAGTAGAGCCCCTGCCTAGGATCCCCCAGTGAGGGTTTGGAGGCATGGCTCAGTGCTAGAGTGCTTGCTTAGCATGCACCAGGCAGTAGATTCAATAATCAATATAACAAAATAAGAGGGAAAAGAAAAGGAACTAGAGAAGAAAGAGGAGGTAAAGTCGAAGGAGCAGGTAGAGGTGGAAGGGAGGTAGGGATTGGGGTCAGAATGGGTTTTGGAAGGGTAAAAAAATATGACCCAGGCAATAAAAATAGGAACAGAAATCAATTTGGGGACAAAAAGTATGAAAGGTTTTAAGCATGTTTGGTTTGGTTTTGTGTTGTGCTTCTGTTTATTTGTTTGTTTGTTTTTAGACAGGCTTGAGAAAGGGTCTCACTGTGCAGCCCTGGCTGGCCTTAGAAATCACTGAATAGACCAGGCCAGGCTGGCCTTGAGAATTGCCTGCTTTCACCTCCCAAGCGCCCAGCTGTGTGGCTCTGCTTTAAGACACAGTGTGGACTGGCATTCCTTTTGCCCCTTTCCCTATTGGCTGCTGCTTTTACAGCTATGAGGCTGGGGGAAAGGCAACCATTTTGTGCCCATGAGAGACACAGAGAATCTAACTTCTCCATTGCATTTCTGAATGATCTTTCTGCTCATGAGTCTATCTATACTTCTCAAAACACCACACTCCAGATTTCTGTTTGTTTGAGCAACTTAGGCAGGTTCTGTGGGACCTGGAGGAAAGCAGAGCAAATGAGAGTCCAGAAAAAAAGGATGGATAACTGGGGTCAGAAGGACATTTGCTGTATCTGAAGTTCCCGGCGGTCACCTGAGGAAAGCTACAGAGACAGGCTTGGGGTTGTGGGAAAGGAAAGAATTGGGACTGAGTATTTCGGCTTATATAGGGCAAGATCCCAAGACACAGGCCATGGCCGAGAGCCCACACTGCCAACTCGAGAGGGAAATGAGAAAGGATACCTAGGGGTGGGTGGAGAATGCCTTGAGGAAATGGAATTCCAGGGGCCAGGAAAGATGAGGATCTCAACAAAGAGCAGGGGTGGTCTCTGTTAAGAGGTTGGTGAACAAAAGTTCTTGGGGTTGGGGAACAGCGACACCATGAACACGACATCCTATGTTGAGCCTTCTACAACACTGATTAATTAGTTAAAATTTCAATAACTGTGGAGAGATTGGAGTGTTGCAGGTCCAAAGTCTAATTACAGTTTATCCTGGTCTGTCTTGAACTCCTTACCCACCTGTGTCTGACCAAATACCCTGTGGCTAGCATGTAATAGCATGTAGTATCCTTAGGAATGTACTAGCGTAGCAGAGCATTAGCTTCCATGAACCAAAACACTTACGGATGTCATCGGAGAACACCCGAGGCCTATAGCAGAGACTTCTCTGGTTTGCTGTTAAGCATCTCTTTGATGTGTCTACCAACATCTTTTAAAAGGACCTTGGTTTGGGACTTTATGTGTTCTATTAGTATAAAACTTCAGCCGGGCGGTTGTGGCGCACTCCTTTAATCCCAGCACTTGGGAGGCAGAGGCAGGCGGATCTCTGTGAGTTCGAGGCCAGCCTGGTCTACAAGAGCTAGTTCTGGGACAGGAACCAAAGCTACGGAGAAACTCTGTCTCAAAAATCCAAAAAAAAAAAAAAAAAAAAACCTTTATGAGACTGTTACCACATTGGAATATGCAATTTGGGATTACCTTTATCGATGTTCCTGGGCTATGCTACTCATGATTGGCTCCAGAATAAACTATCTCTTATCCCTTTGCAGTGAGAGTAGGAGTTCTGTATTGACAGAACCAAGAAGTTTCCAAACATGGCTATAACCAGGTATTTATCACACTCCATTCTCAGTGTAGCTGAACAGATGCAAATCCCAGCCTCTGGCTTCTCAGGAAGACTGGAAAGTAGACTTTTGTGTTTCCTAGCTGGATGGACATTCAGGAGTGCTACAGAGACCATCACCTAACAGATGCTTCATTTTGCTTCAGTTGGGTTTCTAAAAAACAAAAAATCCTAAAGGGTGCCATTTGTGCGTTTGTGTTCATGACTGGGGAAGACAGAGGAAAACCTTGCTGCCATCCCTTATACCTCATCCACTCTGGTTTTCTGAGTCAGGGTCTCCCACTGGCCTCTAACCTGATAAGCAGGTGAGGCCTGGCTGGCCAGGGAGCGCCAAGGATCCACCTGTCTTTTCTTTCCAACACTAGTAGGTTCCTTTTTTTAAACCTGTGATCAAACTCAGGTCTTAACGTTGCAAAGTAAGCAGTTTACCCAGTGGACCACCTCCCCATCCCTCTGTTGTCTCATCCATGAGTTTCTTGGTTGGCAGCCACAAACATAGCCAGGTTCACATACCCGATTTCCAAGGTCTCTCCTCGAATCAGATGTAGCTTCCGGAAGAAAGAAAGCGATACTAGAGCATAGGAGCGCCGGATCTTTAGGAACCCTGAGATTTCTTCAATGAGGCCAAGGTTAGCCTCCAGCTCAGCTGCCAGATTGTCTACAGAAAAGAGGAAACACCCATGAGTGTCTGCAGGAATTCTTATCCGGTGTGTGTGTGTGTGTGTGTGTGTGTGTGTGTGTGTGTGTGTGTGTATCTATGTCTGTGTGTATGAGTGTCTGTGTATGTGTTCCTGACTTCCTGGTGTGTGTGTGTGTATGCGTGTGTGTATTCCTACCCTTCTGATGTGTGTATGCGTATGTCTATGTATGTGTTCCTGCCCTCCTGTTTGTTTGTGTGTGTATGTGTGTGTCTATGGATGTGTGTCCTGGCGCATGTATATGTGTGTTCCTGCCCTCCTGGTGTGTGTATATAAGTGTCTGTGTGTTTGTCTGTTTCTGTATTTGTGTGTACCAGCCCTCCTACTGTGTGTTTGTGCGCATGTGTATGTGTGTGTGCGTGTGTGTGTGTTCATGCTATCCTGTTATCTCAGAACTCAGGATGTGACAAAAGGAGGATTAGGAGTTGAAAGTCACCTATGGCTACATAGTGAGTTTGAAGCAAACCTACAATACAACACTCTTGCTTTTATTTTATTTTATTTTATTTTTTAAATATTTATTTATTTATTATGTATACAACATTCTGTCTGTGTGTATGCCTACAGGCCAGAAGAGGGCACCAGACCTCATTACAGATGGTTGTGAGCCACCATGTGGTTGCTGGGAATTGAACTCAGGACCTTTGGAAGAGCAGGCAATGCTCTTAACCTCTGAGGCATCTCTCCAGCCCTATTTTATTTATTTATTTATTTATTTATTTATTTATTTATTTATTTATGAAGCAAAGTCTCATGCAGTCCAAATTGGCCTCAAATTTACTATGTAACCAACGATACCCTTGAACTTGTGATTTTTGTGGCCTCACTCCCCCAGTGCTTCGATTTCACCAGTATGCCCTAGTGGCATAGTACTGAGAACTGAACCCAGGAATGCTACTTACTGACCTACAGCCCTATCCATACTAAAGTTCTTCTAGCCTGGAGGCTTTTTCTTTATTTATTTCTTTGACATGGGGTCTCATGTAGCCTAGGCTGGCTTCAGACTCACACTGTAGCTAAGAGGAGTTTGAACTACTCCTACCTGAGTACTGGAATAACAAGTGTGAGCCAGCAGACTCAGTGCAGATTGGTAAGAATACAGATTCCTAGGGCTGTACAGATGGCCCAGCAGTACTTAAGAGAATCTGCTGCTCCTGCAGAGAACCTGGGTTCAGTACCCAGCACCCACACGGCAGTTCACAACCATCTGTAACTACAGTGCCCACTTCTGGCTTTTGAGGAAACCACACACACACACACACATAGTACATACATGGAAAGAAAACACTCAAACACAAAAAATACAAAGAATAGATTCCTGATGCAGATTGGAAAACAAGAATCCCTGGAAAACATAGAGCCAGGAACTCTTCGTTTCAGATGTTAAGGCAACTCCTGCTATGAGTCTCCTACTTAGAGGCCGCTGAGGGATGTATCACTTGGTTTGCTTGTTGTTTTGTTTCTTTGGATAGGATTGTGTTACCCAGGCTGGTCTGAACTTTCTAGATTCAAGCAATCCTCCTGCCTCAGCCTCCTGAGAAGCTGAGACCACAGGACCCAAGTGAATAAGGCCATGAAAGTTGAGAGGGGAAAGTGTGGAATACCCTGGGCTCTGTACTTCCCTGCTCACAGTATACAGTAAGTGGGGGACCCTCCTAGGAGTACTCACTGCCTCCTCGAATGTTGATGATCAGGCTGCCATTGATCACAGTGCAGCCTCGGAGCTCCTGGGCAGATGTCACAGAGTCAATGGTCTTCTCGCCGTCGAGGATTTGGCAGACCTTAGGGCAGGGTCCCAGACACGGGGTGCACATTAAGCTGAGAATGGAGCAGACAAAGAGAAACAGATCAATCGGGTGCATAGGGTCCCTTCACCCACTGTGTGGAATACAGCACAAAATGACTACCAGTTATAGAATATTTGTTTACACTGTAAAGATGGAGCTTTGCCAAGGTGCCTTCTGATTGGTTTAATAAAGAGCTGAATGGCCAATAGGTAGGCAGGAGAGGTTAGGCGAGACTTCCAGAGACATAGAGGACTCTGAGAAGATAGAATGTATATTAGTATAAATGGATTAGTTTAAGTAATAAGAGCTTCTTATGAACAAGCCTAAGCTACAGGCTGAGCCTTCATAATTAATAAGGAGTCTCACATTATTTGGGAGCTATCTGGTGGGACAGAAAGACTCATTACAACCAGCTGCATGAAATGGTAATGAATAACATATAAAAGCAGACCTATTAGAACTAGTGGTTCTCAACTTTCAAAACGTTGTGACCTTTAATACACTTCCTCATTTGTGGTGACCCACAACCATAAAATTATTTCATTGCTACTTCTTAACTGTAATTTTACTACTGTTATAAATCATAATATAAATATCTAACATGCAGGATATCTGATACGTGACACCACCTCCTAAAGGTCATGACCCATAGGTTGAGAAACACTGCTGTATTAGAATAAGACCTGAGTTTTCAATAAAGATTCTGAAGCCCAGAGGGGCCTAGACAGATGTTCTACAGATTCTAAAAGAACACAGAATACTATACCCAGGAAAACTATCAATCACCAGGGATGGAAAAAGAAGAACATTCCAAGATCAAACTAAAGTTAACCAGTATTATCTATAAATCCAGCTCTTCAAGCACTCAAGCACTAGAAAGAATATGTCAACCTAAATAGACTAACAACAACCAAGAAAACACAAGGAATTATTATCAAATAGGGTAGACACATTATAACAACAAAAGAGTAGGGATCAAGAAACACTGATCATTCATAATTCTCAATGTAGATGACCTCAATTATCCAATAAAAAGACAAACACTAACAGAATGGATATGAAAACAGGATCCATTCTTCAGCTGCATCCAAGAAACACAACTCAACATCAAGGACAGACATCGCCTCAGGATAAAAGGATGGAAAAAGAGTCTAAGCAAATGGACCTAAGAAGCCAGTGTAGCTATTTTAATATCAGACAAAACAGACTTCAAACCAAAATTAATTAGAAGAGATACGGGGCAACACTACCTACTCATCACAGAAAATCCATCAAAAGGACATTGCAATTCTTAATATCTATGAACCAAACACAAGGGCACCCAAGTTCCTAAAGAAACACTACTACAGCTTAAATCACACATGGCCCCTCACACAGTGACAGTAGGACACTGCAGTGCCCTCCTCACAAACAGGTCGTCCAGACAAAAGTGACAGAGAAATGCTGGAGCTAACTCATGTCAGAAACCAAACAGACCTAACATATTTACAAAACACTCTGCCGAAACCCAAAAGAATACACCTTCTTCCCAGGAACTTGTGGAACTTTCTCCAAATTGACAACACACTCAGACACAAAGAAAGACCAACAAACACACAACAAACCCAAACTAACACCTGTATCCTATCAGACTACCATGGATTAAAGCTGGATATCAACAACAGAAACAACATAAAGCTACAAAGTCATGGAAACTGAACAACTCTCTACTGAATGAAAAATGAGTCAAGATAGAAATTTGGAATTAAATTGAAAACTATAGAATTAAGTAAAAGTGAAAACACATCATACACAAACTTACACAACACAATAAAGGCAGTTCTAAGAGACAAATTCATAGCTTTAAGTTCCATTTTTTTAAAAAAAATGAAATTACAACATAAAAAATGAAGAGATCTCAAACTTAACAGTATACCTGAAAGAACTAGAATAAAGAGAAAAAAGTCACAACCCAAAGGAGTAAACAGCAAGAAATAATCAACTCAGGGCTAAAATGAATAAAACAGAGAAAAAACAAAACCAAAAATTAGGAAGAATCAATGAAACAAAGAGTTGGTTCTCTGAGAAAATCAGTAAGGTTGCAACCTTTAGAAAAATTCACAAAAAAAAAGGCATAGTAAGAAGATCTAATTAACAGACTTAGAGACAAGATATACATAACTACAGACACCAAGGAAATCCAAAGAATCATAAGTATATACTTTAAAAACCTGTACTCCGAATTAGAAAATAAAAAATAAAAAAGCCCAGGGCCAGCTGGCTTTAACACAGAATTCTATCAGACTTTCAAAGAAACAGAAGGAACGTTGCCCAGTTCTTTTTATAAGCCCAATTATTCTGATACTTAAACCACATAAAGACCCAACAAAGAAAGAGAACTACAGACCAACTTTCCTTATGAACATAGATGCAAATATTCTCAATATAATACTTGCAAACTGAATCTAAGAACAACAACAACAACAAAAAAGATCATCCACCCAATGAAGTAGGATTCATCCCACAGATTCATAAAGAGATCAACATTCTTAAATCAATTAATGTAATCCACCATGCAAACAAACTGAAAGGAAAAAATTAGATGAAGAAAAGGCCTTTGACAAAATCCAAACCCCTTCATGATAAAAGATCTGGAGAAATTAGGGATACAAGGCACATACCTCAAAATAATAACAAGCCGCCTGTCAACATCAACTTAAATGGAAGGAAACTCAAAGCAATTCCACTAAAACCAGGAAAAAGACAAGGCTGTCCACTCTCTCCATACCATATAGTATTTGAAATCTTAGCTAGAGCAATAAGACAACTAAAAAAGATCCAAGGGGATATAGATTCCAAAGGAAGAATCAAAGTATTTTTATTTACAGATGAAATGATAGTATACTTTTGTGACCCTAAGAATTCTACAGGGAACTCCTACAGCTGTCAAACACTTAGCCTTCCTATATACAAATGACAGACTGAAAAAGAAATCAGAGAAGCAATACCTTTCACAATAACCTACAAATAAATAAATGAAATATATTGTTGTAGCTCTAACCAAGCAAGTGGAAAACATGTATAATAAAAACTTTAAGGCACTGAGGGAAAAAATGAAGATTATATTAGAAAATGGAAAGATCGCCCATGCTCATGGATCAGCAAAATTAATAGAGTAAAAAAATAGCCATCCTACCAAACGCAATCTACAGATTGAACGCAATCCCCATCAAGATCCCAACACAATTCTTCACAGAAGTTGAAAGAACAATTTTCAGATTCATATGGAAACATACACACACAAAAACAGAATATTTAAATAATCCTGAATAATAAAAGAATTGCAGGACTACAAATTGTACTACAGATCTACAGTAATAAAAACACCATGGTATGAGCATAAAAAACAAACATGGTGATCAATGGAACTGAACCGAAGATCCAAACATAAATCCAGCAAACACATGGACACCTGATTTTTGACAAAGAAGCCACACATATATACTGGGGAAAAGACAACATCTTCAACAAATGGTACTGGTCAGACCGGAGGCTGCATGGAGAAAAATATGAGACAGCTCATACTTATCACCCTGAACAAAACTCAAATCCAAATAGATCAACAACCTCAATACACGGCCAGATACATGAATCTGATAGAAGAGAAAGTGGAATAGCCCTGAACTCATTGACACCGGAAAATACTTTCTGAAAAGAACACTGATAGAACAGGCACTATGGTTAACAATTAATAAATGAGATCTCATGAAACTGAAAAGCTTCTATAAGGCAAAGGTCACTGTCATTCAGACAAAGCAGCAGCCTACAGAATGGGGAAAAATTTTAGCAACCACACATCTGATAGAGAGCCAATACCCAATATATATTAAATAAATAAAATCATAAAATTCTCAGATAAATGAGTGGGACTAGGAAAAGGAATCATCCTGAGTGAGGTAGCACAGACCCAGAAAGGCAAATAAGGTATGCATTCACATAGAAAAAGATGCTAACTGTTAGGCCTTGGATAGGCAAGCTACTATAACCACAAAAGTTAGATGTAGAGAAGTAACTAGGGAGCAGGGAAGGATATCTCAAGGAAGGGGACATGGAATATATAATTATGAATGGAGGGAGGAAATCGGGGATGGAGAGAGACCGGAAGAGGAGGATTCAGGGAGAGGAGGAGAAGAAGGAAGTAAGGGAGGGAATACAGAGAGGAACAGCTAACACTAAGAAACACTGAGGGAGCCATATGGAAACCAACTACAGTAGAAGCTTCCTAAAATATATACATACGTAAAAGAAATCTAATGGGAAGACAATGCCTCAACCAGACATTTCTAGCTACCAAGTAAAACCTCAGGACCAAGAATCCATTACACCCAATCAAGTAGTTAGACACAGAAAGGAGACCCCCAAGAAATCCCCACATAACTCAGGCTATTGCCAATAAGGCTACTGGTGGCTCGCCACAAACTGATGGTAAGGCCCTATTACTGAAGACAACCGCAACATGTCTCATTGATCATGAGAAGTCGAGCTGATGCTTATGTAGAGCCTTTCTTTATCTTGCTAACTAATGTTCACAGTATTGGAAGGTCCTCTGCATGCCACCAACCCGAACAAACCCTTCCATCTATGATGACCTGACTTCATGATACCAGGTGCAATAGTGGCATAAAATTGTAACCAACTACTATCTGGTTAGATTTAAGGCCCATTCCATGAGATGAAACCCATGCCTGATACTGTTTAGGGGTCCAAGAACCTGAGAATAGCTAGGCCATGGACCTAGGGGAAAACCAAACACTATTGAGCCAGGCAGTGGTGGCACATACCTTTAATCCCAGCACTTGGGAGGCAGAGGTAGGCAGATCTCTGTGTGTTCGAGACAGTCTCGACTATAAAGAGTCTCGACTATAAAGCGAGTTTCAGGATAGCAAAAGATGAACAAAGAAACCTTGTCTCAAAAAAGAAAAGAAGGAAGAGAGGGAGGGAGGGGGATAGGGAGGGAGGGAAGTGGAGGGGGGAGAGAGAGAGAAAGAAAGAAAGAAAGAAAGAAAGAAAGAAAGAAAGAAAGGAAGGAAGGAAGGAAGGAAGGAAGGAAGGAAGGAAGGAAGGAAGGAAGGGAAAAGTTAGCAATAAAATAACTCCTGAAGACATTCTGCCATACTCTTAGATCAGTATCTCAGTCAATCAACATCAAGAAGCTTTCTCCTGCAGGAATTGGGAACAAATATAGAAATATGTCTTTTTCTTCTTTTGAATGTATATGTATGTGTACTATGTATGTATGTATGTATGTATCTATGTGTGAAAGCCCACAGCTGATGCTAGATGTCTTCCTCAATTGTTAGCTATCATATATGTGTGTGTATGTATATACAGATAGATGGATAGGTAGATAGATAGATAGATAGATAGATAGATAGATAGATAGATAGATAGACAGACAGACAGACAGATACGTGGATGATGGATAGATGATAGATAGATAGATAGATAGATAGATAGATAGATAGATAGATAGACAGACAGATAGATAGAGTTTTCTTCTTCTTCTGTGGGAACTAAGGGTTCAAGCCTAGGATGTCAGGCTTGGTTGCAAGCACCCTTACCTGTTGAACCACCTCACCAGCCCTCCATCTTACATACTGAGTTAGGATCCTTCACTTAATTCAGTAGATGGCCAACTTGCTCTGGGGATCTCTGTCTCTACTTTCCAAGGCTGGGATTACAGGTAGGTCATCACACAGCCAGGCAGTTACATGGGTCCTTGGAATCCAAATCCTGCTTTATCTGGTGGGTCATCTCTCCAGTCCTAAAGTCAATGTCTTTTAAACAAAAGTCTTGACAGAAACCACCAGTCCCTAAATCATTCTTGAAAAACTGAAATGGATAAACAGAACAATGTTTCTTTCTCCAATCTTCCTGTTGAACCTCCTCCCACCCTCAAAATGAAAAAAATAAAATAAAAAATAAAGTTCCATTCAACACAGAGACTGATTTATAGAGGTCTATTTGGGCCAACAATACTTGTTGTTTCATTTCTTTGGATTTTTTTTTCAATTTATTTAATAAAAAATGAGCAAAACAAAACATATTGTACTTTTAGGTTTCATAAACACTAAAAAAAATTCACAGGAGCTAAAATAAAAATTGTTTTCCTTCTTACCCTTTCCACCCAGGGAAATAAAATTTCCCACCAAAATCAAAACACTCTTTTGCTCGCTCACTTGGCCAGCGCCCAAGTCTGAGAGGAAGAATTTTGACGTCAGCAGGTCAGCTCAAGGCCTTGCAATGTGCGTCTGTTTCTGATTTGGTTTTCTGTTCTTTGCTGGACATCCCCCACCCCACCTCCCTTCTTTTAAACCCAAACACCAAAAACACAAAAGAGATTTAAAACAATAACTTGGTGAAAGTCCCAGACACTAAAATATCTCATCCACAAAGTTGAAGCCTTAAACAAAGCATCTGGGTGTATATAGGAAGCCTGACTCATCACCAAGGAGAGAAGTCCTGTTTCTCACCCAGGTGGTAGGAAATGGCTTGATGGTGCTGATCTTGGAAGGACAGTCAAGCTCTGGGAACAGTGTAGGCGTAAGGCTCCCCCTCCCTAAGACAGAGTGTTCCCAGGTTGTGTTGGGGTCAAGTGGGGTAGGATATGGACAACATAGCTACCTTTCTGGTATAACAGTTATTCGCTGAGCCAGGAAGGAGGGTGCGGGTGAAATGAAAGAACCCCATCTTCTGAGTGCTTACACGGCATGAAGAGGAGCATTTCCTTCTCATCAAGCCCATGACCAAACCCCAGGACACAGTATTAAAGAAAATAAAACAAACAAACAAACAAAAAACACTACTGAGAGCTGGTAGATCACTCAGTTGGCAAAATACCTGCTGTGCAAGCATGAGGATGTAGGTTTGCTTTCCCAGCACCCAGAAGAGCCAGGACGGAAGTCACGCCTATAATGCCAGCACTGGAAAGGCAGACACAGGAGTATTCCAAGCTCTAGAGCCAGTGAGAGACCTTTTCTTAAAAGGAAAGCTAAAGTTGGATTAAATTAAAATCAAAGTGGGAGCTGGAGACATGGCTCAGTGGTCCAGAGAACTTGCTGCTCTTGAGGTCCTGAGTTCAATTCGGAGGGCTGCAGTCACCTGTAACTTCAGCTCAAAGATAACTGATGCCCTCTACCAGCCTCCCCAGACACCTCCATGTGCATACAGACACTACACATACGCACATATACATGAATAAAAGTAAAATATTTAAAAACAACTAAGAAGGAGGACAGTAACTGAAGAAAACATCCAACATCAACCACCGATCCACACACAAACAAGCATGCACACGTGTACACACACATGTACCCATTTGCACATATGCCTGTCCACACACATGAACACATACACACATATACATACACATGCCCACCTGCACACAATGCCAACACACATGAACACAAACACATACATGTGCACATGCCTTCCTGCACACCCAGGTTCCTACATGTGTGCACTCTTGTACACATGTATGCATGCTTGCACATATCCATCTGCACATGCACATGTACACACACATGAACACATACACACACATACAGAATTTAAGATATAAGTGGTGGTAACTGCATTCTTAGCCAGCGCACTCTGGTTTAGCACGGTTGGAACTGATAAGGCTTCATCATCAGTTCTAAACAGCAGTTAACAGCGTTCTGTGGTTTTCTTGAAGGTGGTATATGTTTCTTTTTTTTAGACAGGGTTCTAAATAGCTGGCCTTGAACTCACTATATAGCCAAGGATGACCCTGAACATCTGCTCCTCCTGCCTCTACCTCCCAAATGCTAGGATCACTGATGTGTACCTCCAGGCCTGATAAATTCGATGCTGAGGATGCATCCTAGCCAAAGAGCCCTCTTTTAACAGCTTTAACTACATCGATAGCTTCCATCCAGCTACTCCCCTGGACCCATGCACAGGACTCACTTGCTGGAATTCATTGTATAGCCAGAAGGACACTCCGGGATGCACTTGTTGTTGTGAATGACGTATTGGTGACAGCCGGGCTTCCTAGAGTTTCTGCATTTGTAGTGAAGGTCTTGGCAGAAGCTGAAGTTCACACAGCGCCAATCCTGGAAGTGGTAGTAAGGGGGCGGGCAGGTCTCCACACAGCGACCATCCAGGTAGAAGTTGCGACAGGCCACACACTTGGTGGGGTCATCGGGTTCCGAACAGTTGCCTAGGCACTCCTTGTGGCAGCACAGGCCTTCAGCTGTGCAGCCATGTGACTTACAGATGGTCGGACAAACTAGAGACAAGAAGAAAAATAAAACAGCTGGTCAAGGACTCTGTCCAAGTTCTGCCTGCAAAAACTGCCAAACAAAATAATAACAATAACAGCCACACTTAAACAGCACTTGGCACGTGCCTGACTGGTCTGTGAAAAATGACAGTAGCCCCCAAAGCAACTCCGTACTTGGCAAAAGTTAAACAATCACCTGAGCGAGGGGAAGGCAAGAGGCCTAATACACAGCATTTGCCAGTTACTATTACTAACTACCACCAACTTCGGGCTACTGAGAGGAAATCAAGGAACCAAGTCCTTGACAAGAGACACAATGTAACACACCGTTAAATAAAGCTTCCTATAACCATACAGTCTATGTCTATGATAGATACAGTAGTAGACAATAACTTCTCAAGGGCACACACTTTTTTAACATTATGACGAGGACAAGAGAGATAGCTCAACAGTTGCCAGCACTTGTTGATCTTGCAAAGGACTTGAGTTCAGTTCCCAGCACCTACAACAAGCGGGTGGTTCACTGTAACTCCAGGGGAGCTGACGCCCTCTTCTGGGCTCAAGAGGCAACTGCTCATGTTGCATATGCACACACTTAAGTAAAAAGAAAATACTTTCTGAAAATGCCATATGATAGCGAAAAAGTGGTGGGGTCCATCATTTGTTTTACATGTGATTTGTTTTAACTGTAGGTTTGCAAAATTTCATTTACTAACTTAATTACTTACCTATTTATTTATATATTGCATTGTTGGGGATAGAGCTCCCAACTTGCAACTATCAGGCCACATACAAGCAAGACTATCCAATTTAATTCTCTAGCATGACAGAAATATGAGCTGTCCAAAAGGTAATCTCCTGCAGCCTGTGCTATAGCTAATGAACAGACAAAGCAAAAACAAATTTTAATAACCTAAAAGCTTCCATCAGTGGCTGAGGGTGTGGCTCAGTGGTAGAGTGCCTGCCTAGTGAACAGAATACTGGCTGTGATGCCAGCATCACAGAAACCTGGGCATGGTGGTGCACCTCTGTCATCCCAGAACTCAAGAGGTGGAGACAGGAAAATCTCGAGTTTGATATTTAAGATGGAATATCAAAGAAACACCTGATGTCACCCTCGGGCCTCCACAAGCACATACAAACAAACAGATACATACATACATACCACATATACATACATATGCCATTTTTAACAAATTAATTAATAAACAATAAAAGCATGTATTTGGCTGTGCAGCATCCCCACCAGCCATTCACACATAAACCAACACTCTGTCCCTGCTCATGCTTCTCACAGCCCCTCCTTGGCACCAAACCCACCTGCCTGCTTTCTGTCTCGGCAGAGACTGTGTATGAGTGTAATCCTTTATTTTTCAAATTTATCCACATGGTAGCATATGTCAGCAGTTCCCTCTTCCTTTTTAGGGCTGATATTATCTTCACTGATCCAATCATTTAACAGTGGCCACAGAGACAGCCTTTACCATCGAGATATTACAAACCATGCTTCTATGGATATGGTGTACAAATATCTCTTTTGGTCCCATTTTCAATTCTCCCATGTATATACCCAGAAGTGGTATAATTAAAGGTGTGTTGATTACACTCCCTGAGCATGAGAAGAGGATGCTGGGTGTTCCGCTTCATCACTCTCATTCCCTTGAGACAGAGTCTCTCACTGAACCTAGAGCTGGGCTGGCAATCAGTACGCTCAGGAACATACATGACTATTCCCTGCTCTTTACATAGATGTTGGGGACTTGAGCTCAATTCTCCATGCTTACATATTAAAAACTCTTACTCGGCCTCCTCCCTAGGCCCAACTATGTTAATTCTATTAATTTTTCTAATGAGCCGCCATGCTGTTTTTATTCAGCCACTGAACCACGTTACAATCCCTTCACAAAAACTATGATTTCGCCGGAGGAGCCAAGTTTTTATGTTTCAGTTCAATGCACTACAACTTCAACTGTAATTACGACAGCCAACTCTCAACTCTTCTTTGGGGCAGAACAGATTTGGAGACTAAACATCTTGTCGGGGGAGGCTAAGGAAATGGCCATCCACCTTGAGGAAATGACCTAGAGCTCACCAATGAGACTATGCTAGCTGGCCAGCAAGCCCCACAGACCCTCCCTCCCCACACCAGCAGAGTCTAAGTCTCCATGCACACTTGGCAAGCCTACTACGAAGCCACATCCTGTTGCAGTCTACCCTCCTTTCCTTATGGGCACCAACAACAAACATAAGTGTAATTCTGCCATGGTCCAACTTGGACAGCCAAGGAGTTTATTGGACATATGTACAGAGCACAGGAGCTTGGGGGGCCCCAAAGCAGCAACATCACAGGAAAGCCTCATCCCAGCATGGACGATGATGTCTTCAGGACTGCACAGATAGAGTTCTCCCCTCCATCCTCTATACACCCTAGCACGAAGACCATGAGTTCATGGGCATATACATCTGACTGGGAGGTACAGGAGAGAGCAGCTAGAATGTTAGGGTGGGGGTAATCCAGTGATCCACACATGAGAGAATATCTTATCAACAATTTGCAGGTCTGACTGGGGGCTGAAGCAAGGGGGCGGGGGAGGTGGAAGAAACAGTTTATTGTAGGTAGTCACAGCTACTCTAATGAAGTTGACCTGTTAAGCTCAGAGGACAGCACCCTGAAACACCTCCCCCAGTCCCTTCCCAGCTATTATGAGTCCAGAAATACAGAAGGCAAAGCCAAGCAGGGCCAACTGTGCCAACATTATCATCATTAGTCCGGCTCTGTCTAGGGAGATCTGAGGGCTGAAATTCAATTGGAGGAAGCAATAATTCAAGCAGGAGATTATCTTAGGCTCACAAAGACATGGACTCTCCCATACAACACACATAAGAGCAGGAAGAAGCCCATTTCCTGGGCCAGGGCTGCAGCTGAGGGTCAGCCTTTTTCATTCACAAGAAGCTTCATCAAAGCCCTAATAAACACTTCCCAAACACATAAGCTCTGCAGCCCACACAATACTAAAAGCGGCCAATGGTTGCAAACAAAGCCAGGGGCAGACAGCCAGGCACTTCAATCTTGCACTTTGCACTGCAGGATTCCATTTATAGGACATCCGGGAAGAGGGAAAGAAAACATCGTGACAAGGCAGGCACAGCTCACTGGCTACCAGAGTCTGGAGCTGGGGAGGATCGGGCTGTAGAGGCACCAGGGAACTGGGGGTAAGGGAGGGGCATGGTCAAATCACTCTTTCGCTTTTAAATTTTATTTATTCCTGTATATGGGGGGGGGGGTGCACCTGCAGGGACCAGAGGAAGGGATCTAGGAGCCATCTTCTTTTCTTTTACTATTTACTTGTTGAAAAATGCATACTTGCACACAGTGTATCTTGATCATACTTACCATCTAACACTCCCCAACGCCCCTCAGAACCCCTCCCTCATCATACACATCTCCTTCCCAATCTTATGGCCTCTATTTATTTATTATTTATTTATTAACCCAACAAAGGCCTATTCGTTTGAGACCTTGGAGCTAGGCTAGAAACCAGCAAGCCCCAGGGCCACTCCATAGCACTGGGGTTCCAGGATGGCATATGGCCACTGCCTGCTTTTTCTCTAAGTGCTAGGGATTACAAACGCAGATCTCACGCTTGGGCAGCAAGTGCTTTTACCCACTGAGTCATCTCTCCAGTCCTCAATCTCTATCTTGTCTCTTTCTTTTGGTGTTGGTGACTGATGAACCACAGGTTGCGCCAGAGCTGGTGGTAACCGGTGCCTGGGACAGGACTCCAGAGGGAGACATACTCTGAGAAGTTGGCAGGTCAGTACTAAGTAACAGATACAGAGTCGCGAGACACAGCAGGGTGACTACAGATAACAACAGCGGCTGTCCATTTGGAAAAGCAACAAGAAAGGAATGACTACAAAGGGGAGAAACAGATTGGGGGGGACTAATAAGCCCACCTCCATCCCAGGCCGATGGGCAGCTGATGACTGCTGGGGGTAGGGGAAGGATTCAAGTTTGGCTTTGATTGCTTTTGTTTTTGTTTTCAGGTTGTAGCCGGAAAATGCCCAGGTTCCAATGGAGAGGCCCCACGTTCATGAACATACCGGCAGCACTTAATGGACTCTGTGAATTTAAAACAGTGGATATGGAATTTGAAGGAACACATGGGGGAGGAGTCGGGGGTGAATATAACTAAACTACGTTTTAAAATGAATGAAATTCTCAAAGAATAGGTAAAAACAATTTATGAAGGAGAAAGGTTTGAGGAGAAATAGTTTGGCTTGGTCTGTTGGGTTTGGTTCCTTGCAGTGCTGAGGATGAACAGCAGGGCCCCCTACCTACTAAGCTAGTGTTTTAGCCCAAGGAGCTAAGTGTCGGACCCCAACCCACAGTAAACTGTGTGCAGGCTCCAGATCCAAAGGGACACAGAAGGGCCTGCCTGGTATCCCAGGGCTGGTAAGCTAAGGAGTGAAAGGCCTGCCTCAGCCCATATGAAAACCTGCCTCAAAAAAGTTTTATAAAGGTTCTTTTGTGAGCACTCTTTTTACTACAAACTCAGTACAAGAGCCAGAGGGTGTACCCGAAAAATAGCTGTGTTCTTCCATACACCACTTAGTAAACTGTTCTGATGTCATTCAACAAACACACATCAAACCCACAGCATGCTGAGTGTTGTCATACACATCTGAGGAAAACAAGCGGTTTTCCTCCTATTGAGCAAGGGCAGACCACAGGTGGTACAGCAATGCCACCCCTGACCTCCAGAAGAAACAAGGCCCAGCTGTGTTCTCCCATTGCTCACACCTGCTACTGCAGGACACAGGCTTGGGCTGGGGAGGGGGGAGTGAAAATCTTGTGGGCGGGGGCAGGGGAACCTATGGCTAAACTGGTAAAATTTCACTATGCAGAGTCCTGGGCTCCAAAGTGGTTGCCTGACTGCAATCTCAGCACTCTAGGGGCTAAGTCAGGAAGATCAAGGTCAACCTTGGCTACAAAGTAAGTTGGAAGCTAGCCTGGACTATATGAAAACAGAGAAAAGGAACCAGAGGAGGAGGGAGGAGGGAGGAAGAGAAACAGGGCTGGGGGAGGACGAAAAGGAGAAGAAAAGGAGGTGAGGGAAGAGAAGAGAGGGAAGAAGGAGGAGGAGAAAAAGAAAGTCTTGGAGTGCAAACCAGTAGCCAGGGTGTGCAGGTCATTTTCCTTTGCTTATTGTCAACTTGACACAAATTAGGGTTATCTGTGCAGGGGGACCTCAACTAAGAAAATCTTCCATCATCAGACTGGCCTGTGGGCAAGCCTGTGGGGCTTTTACTTAAATAAGGATTGACAGAAGGGGACACGAGGGCCTTTTTGCTCCCTATAGGGACAGACCTCTACCTAACTCCCCAAAATGATTATCCCAACTCTTCTCTCCCTAGTCTGTTACCCACCCTTAGGGGAGATGTCACTTGTACTTGATGGTCTGCTGGCCTCTAGTCTATTGGTCTCTTCATAGCAATAGAACCAATAAGACAGTGTCCATCACAACAACCGAAACCAAAGTAATAAAAAGAGTAAATTTTGTTGCATGAATTCTTTATCCTGCATGTGTCTTATGATTGCAAGATCCTCTTCTTAATGACTGCAGTCACAACTGTTTCAAATAGCTTTGCCAGTAACACTGAGACAACCCAGCACTGACCTCTGGATAGGGTGTGTTGGGAAAAGAACAGTATTTGAATGTTTTTTCTCCAAACAATAACAATTCATCTTAGAAACACTCTATAAAACAACTGCCCAGTCCAATGTTCTTCAAAAATGTCACTGTTGTACGAAGAAAAGCAAACAAACAAACAGACGCCACTAAGATGCCTCAGCCAGTACAGGTGCTTGCTGCCAAGCCTGACAACGTGAGTTCAATCCCTGAGACCCGCATAGTGGAGGACTGAACTGAGCCTGGCTCTCAAAATCATCCTCTGAACTCCATCCACGAGCTCCCCCTGGCATATTCATGCCCTCTCAACACAAACAAACAAATGTGATAAAATCATAAGTAAATAAACTGAAGAGCTGTACAGACAAAAAGACACGAAGGTGAGACTGCTACTAACTGTGAAGTGTTGTTTGGATCAGGAAGAAAAAACACTCCAACAAAGAGCACTATTGGAACAGTCGGTGAGATTTTAAACTTTTATATAGTGTGCGAAGGCGCAGGCAGAACTGCGGAGTCAGTTCTGTCCCCCATCATGTGGGCTGGGCTCGCAGACTTTTATGGCCAGCACCTTTACTGGCTGAACTACCACAACAGCTCCAAATGATGAGATTTTTCCAAGAGGATTAACATATTCTACTAGTGTTGGGTTCCTGGTTCTGGTCACTGTACTACTGTGTAAGGAATTTTTTTTTTTTTTGGTTAGGAAACCCACTGAAGAAGTAAGGAACATGATTATTGTTACAGACTCCAATGATGAAGAAAAAAAGTCTATAATACTTGCATAGGAATAGATTACAGAAATAAAAAACAGACAGGGTAAAAATATCAGTAACTGACGAACAGTAATCCAATTCCTACAACTTTTATTTAAGCCCAAAACTGCATCAGCGGACAGCAAGATGGCTCAACAGGCAGAGGCTCTCCTGCCACACCTGAGGACCCAAGTTAAGCCCTGGGATTCACATGGCAGAACAGCAAAAACCAACTTCTGCATAGCTGTCCTCCGAACTCTGACCTCTACACACATATACACACAAGGAATAAATATTTTTAACTGCATCAAAAGAACAATCCATTTGTCCAATGGAAGGTTAAATGCTACTGTAGCAGAAGACCAGCTGTGCATTGTAAATAAATAACTAGTCCACAGAAATGCAGCATTGCAACCCCCCTCCCTTTGCTTCTCAAGCTTTAAGCCCTTTGCCCTTTTCTTGACAAACTACACACGTGAAACGAAACAGGGAAACCACTATTTTAGTGTCTTCACAATACTGCACACATTAGTAACACTTTATGACATTTCTTTCCAAAGCCTGCCGCTTACACACACACACACTCCTAAACACCACTGCTTTCCAGAAATTTCCAAACAGGAACAGCTGCATCATGGGCCTGAGTGAGGGTCACAGTCGCAGTCAGGACCTCTCAGCTCTCCTGCCCTCATTGTGAATTTTAGAAACTCCTTATAGTCATGTCTTTGGTTTCCATTCCTGGGCCCCTGTTCTCTGAAGTTTGAGTCCCGCAAGTCAAATTCCTACTACTTGGAAATAAATAAATTATTTAAACCTTATTTAATAAGGTTTAAGGTGGGGCAGGATCCTGAACTTTGACAGTTTTGTGGTCAACACTAAACCCTCATTAAGCACGCGACTTTGAAACTGGAAGGCGTTCCTCTTCCGTACCAGGACAATAGGGGCAGGATAGGCGCAGGCGCGCTGGAGACAACTTTGCTTCTCTGCACAGCTCTCCAGAGGCACACGGTGCTTGTAGACGCGGCGGGGGCTGGGGAGTGTCTGTGTGCGCACCTAGAGGTTCTGAGACAACAACAACCTCAGTCCGCAACCGAGAGTATGCAAACGAAGGGTGCGGCCTGGCTACTCGGAGCCCCACCCCCCGTGAACGGCGGCGGCCGAGCGACACAAAAGCATGCAGCACTCCGGCTCCGCTGAATTCCAGGTCGGCGGATGGCGACTGCAGCGCCGCCCTCCCGCTCAGCCAATGGGCGGGCGTGCTGCGGCCTGCTGGCTCCGCCACCCGAAGTGCGCGGGGGCTCTAGCCTCCCTAGCCTCCAGCTGCGCCAGCTACCCGTGTCTGGGACGCCGCGAGAGGGCCTCTCCGAGGTGCAGGCTGCATGGGATTGGCCTGGAAAGCAAGAGGCTTTGCAAAAACCTAAAAGGGCCGAGAAACCCTGTCTCGAAAGCCCTCCCCTCCCCATAAAAAAAATAACCTAAAAGGCGACACTAGGGTTGCAGAGTGCAAGATGCATCCATCGGGTGGTGCGAGATGCTGAGCGTGTGCCCCGAGGAGATCCGGTCACCGCGTGGCACAGCCTGGGACACCCGGCCCCAGGCCTCAACTGGAGAGAGGCCCAATGAAGGGTAGCGGCTCAACGGGATCACACAGCTGGATCCCCTTTGTGGAATTGGACAGGAAAGGGGGCAAGGGTGTCGTCACATCAAGGTTTTTTTGAATTGAAGACTGCAAATTTGTACACTCCAGGCTTGTTTTCAATATCAGTACTCTAAAGAGTTAGGGAAAGTTATGCAGTTAACAGGCCCCTCAGTCGTTCATTTAGATAGGATAGATTAGATAGATAGATAGATAGATAGATAGATAGATAGATAGATAGATAGATAGATAGATAGATAGATACAGATGTAGATAGATACAGATGTAGATAGATACAGATGTAGATAGATAGATGATAGATAGATAGATAGATAGATAGATAGATATGTAGATAGATAGATAGATAGATAGATAGATAGATAGATAGATATAGATATGTAGATAGATAGATAGATAGATAGATAGATAGATAGATAGATAGATAGATAGATAGATAGATATAGATGGTAGATATGTAGATAGATAGATAGATAGATAGATAGATAGATAGATAGATAGATAGATAGATAGATATAGATATGTAGATAGATAGATAGATAGATAGATAGATAGATAGATAGATATTTGGGGGGAGGGGCACTGGGGAAATGACTCAGTTGGTAAAGTACTTCCTTGCCATGCAGCTTTGAAGAAGACGTGGCTTTAGCTCTCTAGACTGCATCAACAAAACCCTGCAGTACTAGTTTGTAATCCTAGGACTGAGGAGATGGAGATCTGGGGATCCCTAGAGCTTCCTGGCTGCCTAACCTAGCCAAATGAGTAAGCTTCAGGTTCACTGAGACTCTTGTCTCAAAAAGTAAGGTGGAGAGTGGCAAGGAAAGCAATGGACATTGACCTCTGGCCTACACACGTGGGGACACACATACCTACAGACATGCATATACTACACGCATATGTGTGTATATATCCCAAGTATGCATACATATATATTCCATATACTGTGCATAATTACTTGATATATTACTATTTTTAAAATAACCTTCCCCTTTAGATGTGAGGAAATAAAATAATAGCTACTTCATTAATGTCAGCACACCCAGAACTGAAAGTGGCCCCCTGAAGGGACTGACTTGTGGTTATCATACAATGGTTATATTTGCAATAGATTATGCAGCAAGGAAGAATGATACAAGATATGCCAAAGCATGAATCACCAGAGTCCTATGCATAGGTCAGATGATGAAAGGCAAACTTAACTACAGAAGAACAAATCCAAGGAGGAGTGGGGAGCCAAGGGGCAGAGTGAGCAGGAAGGAGGAGTCTGGTGCAGGACACCTTTGAGGGGTGGAGTTACCAGGACTTAGTATCCAGACAATGCCAGTTTCCACCT